AGAGGTAAGTAAAAGTGGTCAGGTACTCACAAACCGAGAGCCAAACAAAGACATGTGGCTCTCATGGGAACAGCATTGGGACTATTTGTAGGATGTCCCTCTCCTTCTGTGGATCTTCTGTTTACCCAAAGAAATGCAGCTAAAAACACTTACTAGAAAGTAAAGTGTTTATTTCCAATATTGGTGGTAAAAGATAAAAATAAGGAGAGTTTCTCCAATAAAACATATATACTTGAATAAAATAAAAGAGTCCAAGTGAAAGTCTCTACCAAAACGCGTTTCGCCCCGTGCCAGGGGCTTCCTCAGTCGGTAATGCTTCCTTTCTGCTTTCCTGTTCTTTTATATGTGTTTCGCCGGTCTTTGGAACGCAAAAGTTCGCAGATAGTTCAGTTGGTTAGTGCTCCGACTGTGATTCTTATCTAATTCACATGGATCAGGTTTTTACACATGGCTTTAATATGCGTTCTTAAAATCATGCTTCTACATCATAGTCTAATTTATTTTCTTGTATGAACTTACATTTTGCATTGAGGTGCTTATTAAGATGTTAAAATTGATTTTTTAATTCTAAAGCTAATAAAATGTCCCATTGAATTCAAGGATGACGCAATGCAGCTTTCAATCTTTTCTTTGCGTTCTTGCCGTCTGCCTGAATAAAGAACTTATTTAAAACTGAAATCAAATATATAACACTGTCTATTTAATATTATGGGTGCTTTTATTCCGTGCCGCATAAAAATGCGAGCAATCTTCCCGGGAGGCCTAGGAGCATTTATTACAAATCCACTGGCTTATTTTCTGCATACAAAGGTAGAAAATAGTTCTGAATGATTTCAATACACAGAGGCCTGTTTTCAGCAGTTTTCAGCCTTCTTGGACTTTTAAGAGCATTGTCATCACTCCAGTCCATCATTTTAGACCATTACGAAGAATTTTCTTAACAAAGCGTTTTCAGTTCTTGCTGCCTAATGTTCCAGAGCCGACTTTCTACTCTCAAACTAGTTCTTCATTCGTGACCCATTCTCTCTTAACGTATCATTCAGCTACAGCTTTCTGATCTAATTACTATTCAATTGTATGGTATAATGTGCCCAGAGGCTAAACCTTTATTTTACAGAAACTGAAGATATTTAATCCAGTGGTTGGGCATGAAGACGGTGGGTTTATTTAGAAAGCAAGATTCACAACAGTTTTTAGTAGTTATGGTGCAGAGTCTTTAGGTGCCGTGGTCACATTTATTTACCAACCCGCAGTAAAAAATTAGCCACCCTGCACAACATACGGAATCGAGTGCTCACCAAGCTTCCAATCTCACAAAATGTAATAGTTTTTTTTTTTTTTTAAACACCCGGTTTAGGAAAACATAATGGGGATTTAAATATATTATATTTTCATAAATTGCATAAGCCTGCCACACCTCCCAAATGATTAACCCACTTGCTTGGTAAGTTCTTCCTCCTGGGGCTCACTGCAGTGCAAGGTTAGAGGAATACAAAGTTGTATTCCTAACACAATAATGTCCTCATTTTTTTTAGAAACAGCAATGTTTATGTTCTCTTTAGAAAAGGGACATCATCTACACCAGGGGTGCCCAAAAGGAAGTACAGCTTCCATGATGCTTTGCCATTCTAAAGGCATGGAAAGCATCATGGGAGTTGTAGTTCTGCAACATCTGGGGATCTACCTCTTGGGCCCCCCTGATCTACTCACTAAAACCGCTACATTAAGATTAGGAGGTTTCCATGGTTACAGCGACCCTATAAGTGGAAACCTTTTCCTGGTTTTCAGAGGAAGACTTAGGGGTTAATTATTGATGAGAAAACATTTTCCACCAATTTGGAAAACGTATCAGCTGTGGTCATAGCAAGGCTATTTTAAGTTGAATTTTGTCAATTTGGTGATCATACGTTTTCTTTGGTTTTAGGGCTGGGAGGTGAGTGCCATAAAACGTATCTCTCATGAACCACAGTTCAATCTCTTGTCTAATGTAGAGTGGACAAATGATAATACTCCCCACTGTAATTAAACTACTTAAAAGGACACTATAGTAATTAAAACAACCTTATCTTAATGAAGCAGTTTTGCTGTATAAATCATGCCCCTGCAGTCTGACTGCTGAATTCTTTGTCATTTAAGAGTTAAAGCACTTTGTTTACGCAGCCCAAGGCACAACTCACTGCATGTGACTTACACAGCCTTCCTAAACACTTCCTGTAAAGAGTCATCTAATGTTTACACTTCCTTTATAGCAAATCCTGTTTAACTTAGAATGTCTTCTCCCCTGCCACTTTATTAGCTTGCCAGACTCTGCAGGGGCCTCCTGTATGTGATTTAATTCATTTTACAGAGCAGGAGATAACAACTTTTAAAGTAAGTCACATCTGATTAAAAAAGAAACCATTTTGTTTTCATGTAGGTCACAGCCAGGGGAGTCGTGGGTAGGGCTGCATAAACAGAAACAAAAGTGATTTAACTCATAAATGGCAGTGGATTAAGCAGAGAGACTTCAGAGGCATGATCTACACACTAAAAACTGTTGTTTTGGTGACTATAGTGTCTTTTTAAGGTTAGCAAAACATCATGGGAGTTACGATTCTAGCTGGGAACTATCTCTTCACCACATCTTCCTTAAATGTACAAAGCACTTCCTCTGAAAGTGTTAACAGTAGCATAGCCAATGTCCAACTGTTACATGTACATGGCACCTAATGGGTTAAAGTATGCTGTGGTGGTTGGAGTTGACAGATGGTCTTTATAAAGACCATTTGTTTGAACATTGCCAACACTGACATCAAATAAATATGATATTACTCAAAATATACTAACAAAACATCAAACTGTAAAGTACATATGAGGATAATGGTCTTTTTCTCCCAAATATAAATAAATAATGTGTAAAATACACATTTCTGGGATTATTAATGGAAATTTGTAAATCATTGCCATTGTCATGACAACCAGAAAATAACCCGTAATCATCTCACTTGGTGGAGTCAAAGAGAACTAATCTATTGTTCTGACCTAAAAACAGAAGGCTGTGCATCGTGGCATTGCTGGCTGGTGGTTGGTAGAAATAAGTCATGTGACTTAATAAGAGAGACTTGTTATTACGTTCAAAGGGGGATAAAGCCGAGGATGTTCTGTCAATCTCTTGAAGGGAGATTTCCACAAGTAGAAGACTGTACAACTTAACACATTTATCTAAACATTTATCTACCTGTCTCTTCTCGTATCTGTCTGACTGTCTGCAATCTGCTCTCTGCCTGTCTCTCTATCTAAAATCTTTCTGTCTGACTATCTGTTTGCCATCTATCCATCCATCCATCCATCCATCTATCCATCTATCCATCCATCCATACATTTTGGTGTCCTGTCCCACTGTCCAAATATTGTTCCCTGGTGTCCTCTTCTGAAGAACGTCAAGGAACTGTCCATGAGCCACACAGTGTGAGTGCACCATAAGATATACCTTATCAGTTCCAAAAATAATTTCCACAACAAATCTTGTTGTTTTCAGCTTAACAACTTTTCTCACTTCCACCTTTTTTCAATCAGGATGCAAACAAAATGCTTGTTCATGCTCTTGTTGTTTCCCACCTTAATTATTGTAACTCTCTGCTTGTAGGCCAGAAAAGTGCCCAGATTGTCCCTCTACAGTGCATAATGAACACCTCTGCCAGTCTCGACTCTGGCTTCCTGTTTCATTTAGGATTCTGTTCAAAGTTTTGCGCTACTTAGAAAACTCTCCATAACAGCGACCATGCTTACATCTCCTCTATCATTCACAGAAATGTTCCAGGCTGGCCTCTTTGCTCCACCAACAACCTATTATTGTACCTGCCCCCTTAACACCTCCATGGCTGCCACCTCCTTATGGAATGCCCTTCTGCGCCACATTCAACTCTCCCCATATCGGCAGTTCTTCAAAAAAATCCTTTAAAAAAAACCACATTTTAGCTCTCCTCTTAACTCCTCAACCCTGATTGCCTATCTCTGCCGTCTCCCATCCTCTGTGCTCCATTCTCGACAACATCTGGAGTGCCAAAGGCCCTTGGTCAGAGTGTGATATATATATATATATTTTTATTTTTTATTTTGTATTTTTGTAATGCAGGTGCATACAACAGTGCCTGTCTTGCCAAAACAGCACTTACAGGCTCAATCAGCGGTATCAATCAAAAAACTGACATGTTTTGCTTGCATATTTTTTGTTAAATAAGTCAAGAGTGGGTTTCAGTTATAGAGCAAGTTGAGATAAAGTTAGTGGTTTAACTTTGCCTATGCCACCTAGCGCTGGCCGGTGAGTATACAGGGGTATGTTAGCAACCATTCCTGTCCTCTGTGTTATGAGGTCAGGGCTGGGGACATGCAGCTCGTCACCGGGTGTATCTGTACTTTGGGTACATGTGTGAGCTGTGGCGGCCTATGGCAAAGGTGGTACGTGACATGGTATTAAGGCTCCTTGACCCCGGAGTCTGGGGTGGGGGGGGGTTGTTTACTTTCGCAGTGTAGGTGCGTGTTACTTGCGGCTTCAGCGTTTTAGTGTCGCCTGAGTGTTCTACCAGTCGCGGCAGCTAAGGGTTCTATGGGATCTGCGTAGCACTCGGTCTATGTGTCAAGAGTTTGGTATATATAAGCTGCATATGGGCAAAAGACTAGGTGGCTAACCTAGAACCTTATATGGCTTGAAGAACAAAACAAAGTGGTGTAAGAACATATAACTGGCATATAAATACAATTTAAACATTCAAGGATGAACATTGCTTATCTCGGAGTAACACAAAGCTAACTGTTGCGTTTTCAAAGTCCCTGTGTCTGATGGTAGCCATTCTACACTAAGCTTCCAGGGGTTGCACAGTGCCTCTTCCTTCTGGGGCTGCCTGTCCTGCTGGGGTAAACGGTGCTACATTGGCAATGTCCCATCTGTGCGAGGGTCCTGTCTTGGCTCCAGTCTTTTGTTGGATGCCCAGTGCTTGCAGAAATGTGGGCACTTCCGTCGTCTAGGTCAGTCGGTGGTTGTGCCCGTCTCGTGTGGCGATGAGTGTTCGTGAGTAGCCCCATTTGTATTGTATGTCCGCTGACCTCAATTGTGCCATAGTTTCTTTCAGGGATGCGCGCCACTGTAGGGTCTGGCGGCTCAGGTCTTGATAGAAGTTCAAGGTAAGGTCTTCAAATATGAACGGGGTCTGTCCCCTTACTGCTCGGAGGAATCCCTCTTTATCTGAGTGGGATTTCAAGTTCATTATAACATCCCTTGCGGAGTCTGGAGCATTGCGTGGGCGTCCCGGTATGTGAAATAGGCCGTCTAAGGTCATTCCTTTGTCCTGTTTGGGTGGCAGGGCTGCTTGGATCAGTCTGTTAATGAGGTGCGGCAGTTCGTCTGCTGGCACGGTGTCTGGGATCTCCCTCACGTTTAGATTTTTCTGTCTCACCATATCTTCAAGCAGCCCCACTCGAGCAGTCAGCTGTGTGCATGTGGCTGCCAGTTCCTGTGTTTGGGTAGTTGTGGCGTCGTGTTGGGCCCTCAGGTCCTGAACCACTTCTTCCGTGGCTCGTATGCGGCCTGTAAGCATGCTCAACTCTGTCTTGAGGCCTGCTAGCTCCGTCGTGAAGAAGGCCTTAAGGTCCGTCACCATACCTCACAGGTCGACCTTCGTGGCTAGTGAGTGTTCCGTTTGCCTTGGCGGTACAGTTTGTGGCTTCTGTTGGGGTGTCTGGGTCGGCATATCGCTCATGTAGTCATCCTCCGAGGCAGATAGTGACTCCATCCCCATATCCTGGAAGGGGTCTGACATTTTTGGTCTGCACACCTGGGACAAGAGCTGCCCAATGTTGTGGGTATGTCCCGTGGATGGCCCTCGGGGTTTCCTGGAGTGTTTCCCCATTGCGGTCTGGATCTTCCACTGGTTTTCCCCCGGTTTGTGGAGGTTTTGGGACTGGTTCTGTGGCTTTATTGCTATATCAATGTCGGAGCTCGGGCGCCATGTGACTTGTCGGCTTAGCAGCTAGCTCCGCCCCCCAGAGTGTGATATATATTTACATTTTAGGATCTTTAGATAATTATTCACTTAAGTTAAGAATTTCAAAGAGAACTTCAATGTTTTGACCATCATGTACAGTTACATTCCGTCTTCTATAAACTGCATTTTGAGATTCACTTCTCAAGTCACTGCTTAGTAAATAAACCCTTTATCTTGCGTGCGTTATATTGAGGCATTCATGTAGCAGAGTGAAATGTTTCAAAAATAATTACATATCCTGTTTTGATCCCTGGAAAGAAGAGATTAGATTGTTAACAGATAATCCCAGCCAGATGGACTTTTCTTTGGGTATGCTACTGTTACTGCTTTATTCAATAAAAGTGTAAATTGTCCAGAATTGAAAGGGAGTCAAATTTTATGCCAAAATAGACAAATTGAAAAAAAGTTTGGCTAATATTGGCATAACGTCTTGAAATTCAGTTTGCATAAATTTTGATTTGCCGACAATTCCCCTTTTTTCCAATTCACCCTGAAATGGAAACGTAGCGGACTCTTTCTTAGTTTGTTTATTTTGGCCTAGAATATAAAAATGAACAATCAATGCCTGACAGTATACATGGGAGACTGGGAGAATTGTTTCGATACTGACTGCAACTCAGCCGAATGTGGGCCGAATGAGTGTTCGGCCAAATTCCCAAACTCTGAGATGAAATATACCCGAATTACGGACCAAACGAACAGCACATATATGTTTGGTTTGGAGTTATGATTCCGAATACATTTTTCCTATGGACATACTGCATTCAGGATAAAATCAGACCCCCGTACACTATAATGAAAGAAGTCTTCTGAACCCAGATGGGACAATCTCTTAACTCAACTTGTGCAAATGTTGCAGTTTTAGCAAAGTTACAGGTATTATTATTATTTATATTTGCCATTTATGTTTATATTGTGCATTAAAAACTGGGGTAACTTTCAGTTTTCTGTGCCCATTTTTATCTTTAGGGAAACTAACATCTTTTGGCTGATCATTTATAATTACTCTGTGTCCATGATTATAGAATTAATTTTCTTTCTGCCACTTATGAATTGTACACAGTGCTGGGCAGACCTTTTCACGTGCTCTCCATGAGGTGTATGTGTCCAGGAAACTTGGAAGATCTGCTGTCTCTACCCTTAACTCCCTATGGCTGAGCAATGTAAGGATTAGCAGGACTCTACACACAACAGGAGCTGGAGTAAAGTAGGGCAATGATGTAGATAAATGGTGCGTGGCATCTCTGTCCTCGGGGAGATGTATACACTGGGGGAGGGTAGATACATTGTATGCAGATTTGCAGATTCTCATTCTCCATGTACAGCGGGATCGCATGAATCTTGCCCATTCTTTACCCAGTGCTGTTTTGTGTTATTAACCCAATCTTTTCATTAACCACAGAGGATATAGAGGGGGGAGTGGAGGACTCTGTGCTACTAATCAGTCATTATTTCTGGGCAGTTTTATGGTTCCATTTATTAAACTTGAAGTGGTTGCTGTGTTAGTCCAGTGATGCAGATGTAACAGAATAGGTTACCGTAGTAACTTTTATTTCCATTTTTAGCAGAATTTTGGAATAGCAACATTTTGAGAGGTTCTCCTTGCCTCCTATAAAATTATTAATGTTTATAAATTACCAAATTTTCTGCAGCAGTGTACATTGACTGGCAGAACAAAAAAACCCCAAAAAAACGACGAGTTCTATAGTATGTGCACTAAGTAAAAGTGAAACCAGATGAGCTTGCAATCTAAAAGGTATTGGATTAGCACAGTGACCCAGCAGTTTAGACTACAGCACTGATAACAAACCAAGTTTATAATAGATAAATTAAAATAACTAGACATGCAGGTGGCATGATGATACACAATACTCTTATTCTGGAGAATGGGGCTTAATTGGTTCTAATTCATACTTGCATCCCAAGTATTACATTTAACACACTCCTGCTACGCAAAACAAGACTTGGTGTCACTTTAAAGAAAATGGCAAGGCACCTATAGCTTATGCTAGTCTGATTGCTAACAAGTGCGTATATTAAAAGGTATTCAGGTTATTAATGTCACCATATTGTGTTCGATACCACTATGGTGTCAGAAAGTCCAGCCATCACACCTTAAAGTGACATACAGGCTTAGGGAATGTTACACAGCATTGGTAGTTATCAAATTTAGAGTTAGAATTAGGATAAGATTAAACATAAATCTGATTCAATTTCCAGCCTTACATTTTATTATACTATAACTGTTATTCGAATGTCAATCTAAACCTAGCCCTAACTAAAAATGTAAATGTAACCATAACACTAAAAAAAAACAACTCAGGATGCCATCTTACCTTAAAGGGACACTGTAGTCTCTATAAAAATTGCATCTCTTTGAGAACCCAGGCACTGTTCCTCCATTCATTGTTAAACACTATATAAGAGTCGCTGGCCACCCACAGTCCGGCCCCTTTGGGAGGTGTGGCTCAGGCACAAATTGCACTTCCTAGTTGTTACACCTACTCATACCATCAGCTGGAGCTCTGATAGACTAAAAGCAATCCGCTGACACGCTTGGCCAATCACAGCTGGCCATTGCTGATCAGGCTAATACTTCCTCATTAGCCAAAGCAGCACAGAGGGGATAGGCTGCTGGGAGCTCTCATTTAGCTTTAAAACATAAAAAAAATTGAAAAGTGCTGAATGTTGAGTGAAATGATGGCACAATGGGATTCCAAACCCTATAACCAGTTTAATGAGATGACACAGATACTGTACATACAGTGTCCCTTTAAGGGGTTCAATTTGTAAAGATGGCACCAATCTGCTCATTGCATCCAAGGGTAATCTAAGGCTTCAATAAGGAAGCCTCAGACTGGGCACCACAGACTCTAATTAACAACAGTGTGAGAAAGGAACTTACCTACACACTAACACACATAGTTCTCTCCCTGACACTAACCCTGCATCACATAGGAATATTTCAACAATGTAATTGCATCCCTTAGCTGTCCATTAAGTCATGCTGCCCTTGGGATTGGCTGACAGAAAGAATCACAGCACCTGAGAGCCAATTGGAGGATACTGCAGAACTGCTACACTCGTGAAATCTCACCTCCAATGGGGTATTGTTTGACTGCCGTATGCTTGAGACATCAAGCCATTGCCCGGTTATGCCAAAATTATCATGCGCAAGGACTCCCCGAGGCTCCACCCCTCACCCCTCACTGTTACAGCAATTTTATACCCTGACATTTGCAGTGATTTCCATTTGTAAATAGCCTTGTCTTGCTAACTGTTGCAAGATCCTCTAGATTGTAAGCTCTTTTGTGCAGAGCCCTCATCAGCCTATTGTCCCTGTACCTTTTTGTATTTGCCTCATTTATTGTTAAATTTACTCCTTTATAATATTGTAAAGCCCTGCGGAATAATTGGCGTTATATAAATGCCAATAATAACAATATTAAGACATGTAGCTCCAGGGAGTAAAAACAGATGTGCAGGGCAAGGCATTAAACCAGAGAATATATATTTTTAAAGACATTAATAAAATACACTGTTTAGCGAATACGCCTCAAAAGTGCACAATGTGTTCCTGTATTTTGTCTCTGTACTTGTTACATCTTTACTGTTTTGACAAAATTGTCTTGGAACCATCAAAGAGCGTCAAAACAAAAAAAAATTATGTTTCTTAAATATGGGCATTACCTACTAAACAGTGATTTATGTCAAACGGACAAATGAACATAATTAGTTAAACATATCTACAAAAACATGTGCAGGAAATGTTACGTCCCATTTTTTCAGTTCCAGCATCCAAAACACCACATCGCGCCTTAGAGTCAATATAGTCATTGCAACAGATTTGACAAAACATTTTTTTTTTTTACTTCTTGCAAAATCGAAACATTTCGCCCCTTTCTATGAAATCCCCTGATAGCTAAATAGTAAAAATAATTGAAAAAACATTTTTTTTCTCACTGTAATTAAATCAATAGAACAAAATAAAGTTCTTAATTTATACATGGCATAGAATTTAAATCACGTGCCCTTTTGACCTTAAGGGAATATCGCATGTCACAGCCTGTCCTATAAAATTTATTGAAAGACCCTTCTTAAATTCACAGGGGGATCAAGTGGCAGTTGTCTCATGGAGTAATAAAGAGCAGGTAATAATACTGTAATGTCACTTGGCAGCACAGCACAGCAGTCTCATGCAAACCCAGCTATTACTTCAGCAATCTCTACATTATTGCCTGAGAGAGGGCGAGGAAACTAGATGAGGAGGGAGAGACGTTGCTAAGCCACCAATCACAAAAAGCCTCCACGATCAGTGACAGGTCCAGCAAGCAAGCAGGGCAGGCAGATATTAATGGCCAATCTGCGAAGAGTTCACAATAGCCTACCAGGCTGCGGCTTACAGCTTCCTCCTTCCTGGCAGAAAATCAGCCCTCTAAGGAAAAATTGTGAGACCTTTTCACAAGCTGCATCGCTGCAAACCACCGCTTTCCTCTCTCTTCCACTGCCCTCCCTTTCAAGGCAAACTTTTGGCAAAAGCATCACCATCATTTTGTGGTCCATTGACTTCCACCTTGCAAATGCCTCTCAATCAAAGGAGCCATTAATATAATAGCACGAGAAAAAGGCAAGGATGCTAGCATAGTCTAAATATGCAAAGTGGGTACTTTACAACCAAGACTCCTTGCCTCGTCTCATAGGGACTGTTGAAAGGCAACAAAAAAAACACACAAAAAACGGACAGATTGAACGGACGAAGGCTGGAACATAAGCACACAAAAAAAAAGAAAAGGAGGAAAACGTAAAACAAAAATATATATTTTATATATATATATATTTTTAAAAACAGAAATAAGGAGACCAGTGGCACGGCTGAACCTGTCATCGAGACATGCAACCATCAAGCAAGCTTATTAGCCTATTCTTCCTCATCTTGGTGGGCATGGAATTAACTCAAGTAAGGCTAACACCAAACCTTTTTAATGATTTATTTTTATTCTTTTTCCGTTCAAGTGTTTTAACAGAACACAAAGGGAAAGGCAGCACACTGGCTTAGAGCACCCTTCCTATTTCACACAAGCATGCAGTATCTTGGCTTGTCAATCCATAGGTAGTAGCGATTGCATTTTACCCGTTTGGGGCAGTTTAGCGTTGGGGCACCAAACTATTTGTGTGGTTTTTTTTTCTTTGTTTGTTGTTCTTACCAAAAACATATTGTTGGGTTATCGAGGACGTGTGAGACTAAAGTGTCTTTTTGAATCTGATGCACGACTCGATTGAAGGATGAGGTCAGCGCAGGTGCTCGGCAAATTATTTTGCTACAATGTTACAATTCTTTGCAAATTGTTTCTTTTATAGGTTGAAAAAAAAATGACAAAACCCTGTATTGGTCAACCTTTTGCATGTGTACAGGATTTACTGCTGGATAGGGTATTGTGTTGTGTGCTAAGCAATGATTGAGTGGAATCATGCATTAGCTATTAATTGACTGTATATCCTGATGGCATAATGCCAGCACAGAGGTAGCTGTAGTTTTGTCTTCAAATATGTACGTGTGATGTTAGCACTTGCTCGTCTGTCACTCAAACATTTTACTGTTCTTTTGATTGACTGTGACATTTAAATGTCCTTTCCGTGTCTCTAGTGTAGAAATCCAGGGGGGTAATTAGTTGCAGGTGAACTCTAGCTCAGCATATCAGGGAGGCAGACCAGGGGCACAGGGAGAGTTTAGTGGATATGTTGATTAAAGGAATTGGAGTCAAGTGAAAAAGGATTTAGACTCAATAATGAGATTAAAGACAGAAAGTGTCCGGGAAAGCTTAGGCGTTGAACCTTATCGGATAAGGGTTTTGTGTTTAAAACCATCTTGGATTTGTCACGAGAAGTTTAAATCAGTTCTTACAATGCCTTTATGGCACTGAATCCCACAGTTTTACTTTTGTTTTTTTTCCAAAATATTGTGTGAATTAATTCAACATTATGGAAAAAGCAAAGACTCTTACACATATATTCTTTAAAAGAATGTTGTGTGTAGAATACTGTATGTTATTCAGGACCCTGGACTTCACATGGTACAGTGCAAGACAGACACAGAGGCTATAAATGTTTTTGTATGTGTCTGCATTTTATTCATTTATTTATTTGTATGTATCTTTGCGTGTGTGTGCACATTTGGATATTTATGTGTGTATTTGCATGCAGAAATATTCGTGTGTTTGTGTGTATTTATATGCAAATTTGGGGGGATGGGGTTGTGTGTGTGCTTCTATTCAGAAATATGAGTGAGTGGGTATTTAACAAGCTCATAAAAGTACCTGTGAATCCGTAATTTATTTATTTTTACAATCTTGAAGTATATTTTATGATGTCTTGTGCAGCACTTAGCTAATTAAAAAGAAAAAGAAAAAAAACACAGAATGAGGTCATTGCAGATGGAGAATGAAATGTGACCACAAACTTACTCTAATATTTCCAGACCTTTTTACGGTTTTGCAATAATGTTTGGAAATGCTTTTGTTGGATGCTGGTAATGCGCATGTGTGCCAATGGATGGACCTGAATTTTCTAACCAACCACTGCCCTGAGTGCATTTAGTGAATTGTCAATAAATTGCTGGCTCAAAGGATAGGATGCAGCGAGGGAAGCAGAGGGATACATTCCCTCTAAGGACAGAATTTACAGTATGAGATTCCTTGTTATTCACAATCACACACACAGTACAATGTAGCAATCAATACCCCGACAGCAGACAAACATCCAGCTCAGCACAGTAGCTCATAGTCTGAGATGAAAGGGATGGGGGTTAGAAGCCTTGAAGCAACCAGTATCTGAATAATGTGCTGGATCATCCTGAGGTTACAACTTAGCAAAGAGGTCCAAAAAGACAGACAATGAAAAGGAAAAAGTAAAAACAAAAACACAAGTAATTCCTGATTACAAAGTCTTCTTCTTGCCTGACACTTAAAAAAACTAAGGTACTATTACAAAACTAAAGCGAGTGAGCTACTAAAAAAAATACAGTGAGTGAGCAACTAAAAAGGTTCAATGCCCTGCTGTCCTGCTGCAGACAGATATACAGAGACAAACAAACCAAACAGACAGACAAACAAATGCAGGAAGAGAGATGCAGGAGGGAATTAAATTGGACAGTTATCACCTAGAAAAAGATTAGGGTTAACAAAACTTTGCTTTTGGGGGACACAGCTGCACCCCAAGATTGTGACTAGCTTATCACATGTGTGAGTGCCATGTGTTATCCAGCTCACCCAAATTGCATTATAGTCATATCCAGCCATAGCTTAACCCTTCGAGTGCTATGTAATGTGTTGCTGGTCCTCTGCTACTTCAAGGGGTTACTGTTCAGTATCAATCGCTAAAGTTTATATAAGCACACACACACACACACACAGACACATACACACACACACACACAAACACATACACTAGCTAAAACATAATATGATTTATTGTACATAAGCTGGTTTGTTGTCACAGCATTATTGCAGCTGTGGGTTTTTTTTTTTTTATATATTTCAGCTGTTATTGTCTGTATGAGGGTTATCAACTGAATAGGGTCTTTTGCTGAAGTGAGCATTACGTTGGTAAAATTATACCTAAAATAGTGGGGGTGGTAAATCTTTTCTGTATTGTTAGTGTAACTGATACTTGTCATTAAACCCCACTGCTGTCAGTTTGCATTAATACTGTTTTGGGTCAGTTTTACTATGAGTAACTGGGCACCATGAGTATTGAGTAATAATGGCATATATAAAGCCAGTGACTTTAGTCACCATCCAGCAAATAAGATGTTAAATGTGGCAAAATATAATGACATACATATAGCCAATGACTTTACTCACCATTCAGCAAGTAAGAGGTTAAATGTGGTAAAAGATAATGACATACATTTAATCACCATCCAGCAAGTAAGAGGTTAAATGTGGTAAAAGATCATGGCATACATATAGCCAATGGCTTTACTCACCATCCAGCAAATAAGAGATTAAATGCTATAAGAGAATATTGGCATACACATAGCCAGTGACTTTATTCGCCATGAAGCAAATAAGAGGTTAAATATGGTAGAATAATAATAACACACACACAAGGGATTTTACTCACCAACCAGGAAATAAGAGGTTAAATGTGGCAAAAGAATAATGGCATACACATAGCCAGTGACTCTATTCACAACCTAGTAAATAAGAGGTTAAATGTGGTAAAATAATAATGACATAATGACATACATGTAGGCAGTGACTTAGTTCGTCATCCAATAAATAAGAGGTTAAACGTGGTGTAAGAATTATGGCATACATATAAGCAGTGACTTTATTCACCATCTGGACAATAATAGGTTATATGTACAGCGCTACAGAATTTGCTGGCGCTATATAAATAATAATGAAATAATAATAATATGTGCTAAAGGAATAATGGCAAACATATAGCTAGTGACTTTACTCCCCATCAGCAAATAAGAGGTTAAATGTGGTAACAAAATAATGGTACATCTATATATATATATAGCCAGTGACTTTGTTAGCCATCCAGTAAATAAGAGGTTATTGGGGTATCAGAATAATGGCATACATAAAAGCAGTGACTTCTTTCACCATCCGGCAAATAAGAGGTTAAATTTGGTACCCTTCACTGAAAGGTGAGGCATTGTCAAAGGCACTCTGAGTGTCCCCCATCCAGCGATTGATTTGCTGGTTCTGGCAGCTTCAGATATTAGGTCATAGAGCATGGCTTGGGAATATGTGTCTTTGGTAAGGTATAAACTAGAGGTTGTAACTCACTCATTAACTCCTTCACTGCCGAAATAATTTTGTTCAAGAAGTTGCACCACATTTATTTTAAATGTGATACGTAACTAATGCATAAACATAGGGTAAAACAACAAGATTGAGTTTCAGGCTACAAAATGTTTTATTTATTAATTTATCCTTTTGAGAAATATTGAGGATCGATACGGTACGCCTTATCTAGCAAACTTGTCCATAGATGCAGATATATGTTTTTTTTGTCACTTACAATATGTATTACAAAACAACTAAATAAAAATTGTCAAATGGCCTGCTTAGAGGTATTTGTAAGGAAATTATAGCATTTCTGAAAATTTGACCTTCTAAGAGTAATGTAGAAATAATTCCCTCATTCAGTGAGTACCGTTACACCAAGCATATTCACAGTACAGCGCATTATAAACTGGCATTACTGCCTGCAAATAATAGTTGCGTTGTCTGCTCCCTGGGTGTTAGAATGCAGTCGTAAAGTTTTACTTACAAAGGTTGTGGGATAAAAAAGCAAGGCTGTCCTTTATTGCTCTTCTGCAGCAATGCAGAGGGACACAGTAGGGCGCTGGCAGGGATAAAATGAACAATAGTAGATAGGGGAAGGTAAGTGAGATTTTGCAAAACTAAAGTAAACACGAGTATCACCTGAGCAACAAGTGAGACAGGTATGAAGCTTGAGAATAGACAGATACATTTTCAAACACTGTTGACAACCCTCATTCCCAACCTGTGATATATTTAAATTTTACCATATATTTCTCAAACCAGGAACTAATGCTGTTGCTTCCCGACCATGTCTACGATATCGGAAAATGAACACTACTCAAACACTATAACAATGTGTTTCTCTCGTCTTCTATAGCCCTCATTCCCAATCTGTGATATAAATTTCCATATTATCTTCCATCAAAGTTCGTGCACATTACCTGCTCACTGTGTACCTTCCACGAATGATAGGCCTTTAAAAACATGAATGGTACCAACATTATTTTTTAATTTTTTTTATCCTTTACCATAAGCTTTGTTCAGCTTATCTTAGTAAATCTTAGTAATAATGATAAATGTAAAAATGTAACCAATGTCTACTTGTAAGTGAATGACTGAACTTGTGCAGTCAAACTGGCGAACATCCCCCGGTGAATATATCAGCTCGAATGCTAGAGTGAACTTTAGCTTTTTACTTTTCTTTTTCCACTTGCATAACCTTATTTTTTGATGAGGCTGTCAGCTGCAATCCCAAGATAAGGCTTCCACTTTATTGAGGTTGACCATTCATGACTTCACATTTTATTACCAATGATCTTCACTCAAACAGTGTTAAGATGTACTATGGAACTTCTTCTGGAGTGAAAATGAGCAAAGCTGCTGTTGTTCACTTTGCAGAATTTATAGCATTGTTGGCCATTATATTGCATTGGACAATGTTGTGGTAGTACCGATGACTCCAACTGGTCAATTCTAATCACAAATAAAAACTTTGTGACAAACAAGGCTACAAAAAAAAAAAATGTGATGACACAGCTATGTTATCCGATAAATGGTCAATGTGACATCAAGATTAATGATTAAAGAAATATTCTGAAATGCCACTTTTTTAAAATTTCAATGTATTGAAGAGCTTCAACTTTTTTACAAGTGAATATGTCTGGGAGAACTGGCTTAGAAGAGGTAAAGATGGACCTCTTTAGTTTGCCCAGTAGAAACCTGTTTCTTGCTAGATGGAACATAAAGATTAATTTTTACTGTAGATGTACGTTTCCCAAAAGCTTTTATTTAGAATTCCCAGCATATGCCTCCCTCATGTATATAAAAACATAAAAATGTTTCTATGTTTCTAAAATATTTCTTCTTGCAGAATTCCTATGTTGAGAATAAAGCCAACTTGGCCAGTCACAATTCACATTACACCCCCAAGTTCGGTGGCTGACCTTAAAAGTGTTTTGCACAAGTCAAGGTCCTAAAACTGTCCTCAAGCAAACTTAGAGGTGCCCTTCCGATTTTCTCATGTAACCATCGGGATAATGATACAAGCAATTAGAACTTGTAACTATAACCTGGAACTTAGAAAGTCAACAGCAGACCACAGGGCTGCCCCCTTAAGTTTTACGTTGGATGTAAGGGGGCATTCCTTAAAAGTAAAATTGTAAAAGAGGAGTTGTTTTGCTTGAAAGTAGGCATGACTGGAGCATAAGTGGCCATTTCCAAAAAGATGTGATCACCTGAAAGTAGATGGGGTAACACTGTCATAGAATGGGAAGTCTGAATCCTCCATCATTAAATAAACGTTCTAACTCTGAGAAACCATGGCAATTTCAGACAATTTTGCAGACATGCCTGCAACTGCTATAACTTATTAAATTTCAGGGTCAATTGCAGTGAAAGACAGCCTTGCCACCGCAGATGTCTGTGGAATAATTTCCCATGAAGTTCAGCCCAATGGCAGTGGGAGACTTTAAACCAGAATGTGGGGAGGATGGATGGAAGTTCAATTCACATATGTATCAGTGTAGATAAGCTGGGGGCACATTGTTAGAGGAATCATGTGCATGCTGAGTCAAAATAGTCTGACCAACTCTGCAAGTCTGTGAATGTATGTGTGTTTGGAATGATGGTCAAATGACCATGAAAAGCAACAAGCATATGTGAAGACGTACGAGATGTGTAAGATAAACCAAACTGGCTTAATGGAAAGAATAAAAAAGACAAAATGATAAGACGAATCTATCACAAGACATTTACCTGTGGAGTCCTAATTAATGAATAATTAGTATTATAATTTACATTGTGCCAACATTTTTAATTTAATAAGACCTCCCCTTCTAACCCTGCCCAGACTTTCTGTAACTGTCCAATCACAAACTTCCCAATGCAGCTCAATGAGTCTTTGCAAGGCAGGTGCACTGGACAATTGCTGCCTCCACTGAGCTAACCAAACCAGGAAGCAGCAAGACCAGTCATATGATAGACAGCCAGGGGGTGTAACCAGGTTAATTGATAAAAGTTCCAATTTCTATTGAAATCTGTACGTTTTATAAAAAAAAAAAAAAAAAAGAGGACACACTCGTCACACATAAAGCAAACTGATGTGCCTAGGGGCCTGGAGTGTCCCTTTAATGTTTAGCAGATGTTATAAATGTTTAGTTAATTGATAGTGTAATATAAATTGAAGTAAACAAATCTATTTTTATTAGTAAGCCCAGCGGATTTTAATGTCTCTTGATTTGTTTCTTTGACCCTTTCAACCATTAGGCTTAGACTTAACCCCTTAAGGACACATGACATGTGTGACATGTCATGATTCCCTTTTACTCCAGAAGTTTGGTCCTTAAGGGGTTAAAATCCATCTTAAAAAAACAAAGAAGTGGTTTTCATATAAACCAATTTCAGCCAATTCCTGGGGGTTCCTCATGACTGCACAGGAAGGCACCCCCAGGGAGTTAACTGAAAATTGATTTATTTAAAAACTAAGCAGAGTTTCTAAAGCATCATTGGTCGTTACCAAAAAAAAAAATCTTGCTTGGCTATGTTGGCCCAAAATTTAAATTCATTTTGAAATCCCAACAATTTACATGCAGAATAAAAAAACCTGTTTTATAGATTAAAAGTGCTATATTTTTATTTTAACCATGAAATGCTCTTTTGTCCTTCTCTGTTGCACATGTACGGTGTAATTCCACAATGTTATTCACATAGCTTCTAAATTGGCTAAATGATCCCTTTCAATCCATTCAGACAGCTTCACACCAAAAATGGTATATTCCAATCAGTTATTCAATTCCCACAATACTTTGCCAACTAGGGTACTAGCACTGAGCAGTGTTTGTATGTTTGAATGCAAGCATGTTTTTGTTTGAAGTATGTGTGTGTGACTGTAGGGGTGTGTTTGTGTTTAGTGTTGTGTTGGGTGGTTTTATGCACTGTTGCCATTTGTTTTACTTGTGTGTAGTGTTCCCCATGGAATGTAGTGGTGGGTCTGTATGTATTGTTGACGTTTGAATGCAGGGGTGTATTTGTGTGTAGTGTTTGAGTTTGAAAGCTGAGATGTGTATATATATATACACACACTGCCACCCACCCACACTGATATCGATACACATACACAAACAGACATATACACACTGGCACACATTAGGATCCACAGATAAACAGACACACAAATACACACACCGACACAAATACAGATACAAACACTGACACACATGCAGATACACAGGTAAAGACATGTAGATACACAGACACACACAGATACACAGACACAGACATACACACACTGACACAAATGTAGACATACAGACACACAAATACACACATTGATACACATGCAGATACACAAACACACATTGATACACACATATACACAGACACACAGATACACACACTGGCACAAATGCAGATACATAGACACACATTGATACACACATACATATACACAAATACACACACTGATACACATGCAGATACACAGACACACACTGACACAAATGTAGATACACAGACACACACAGTAACACATGTACAGACACACAAATACACACACTGATACATGTGCAGATACACAGACACACACTAATACATACAGATACACAGGAATACAGATACGCACACTGATAACACATGCAGATACACAGACACACACTAATACACACAGATACACAGACTCATAGATACACACACTGACACACGTGCAGATACACAGACACACACTGATACACACAAATACACAGACACACAGATACACACACTGACACAAATGTAGATACATAGACACATACATTAACACACGTACAGACACACAAATACCCACACTGATACAAGTGCAGATACACAGACACACACTAATAAATACAGATACACAGGCACACAGATACACACACTGATACACATGCAGATACGCAGACACACACTAGTACACACAGATACACAGACTCACAGATACACACACTGACACACACTGACACACGTGCAGATACACAGACACACACACATTAACACACATACAGATACAATCCTTTGAAAACAAAATGATTTAAATGTTAAATCTTAAGCTGTCTATATGTTCTGGCTGTGCATTATTCCTTTCTATATGTCTTTAGTGCGCTCTCTGTAGGACTACAAATATTTATTGCATAAAGTGCAAAGCGTTGAAATATTCATAGCTTGAATTTCTACTGGGTCACATAAAGATTAGACTCGAGAGCTTCATGCACGCCCTAGTGAGTACCGGTTTTCTGGCAACAGTTACTGATCTGAAGAACATACAATGTAACAAGCCATTTCTCAAGATGCTGTTAGCATAGCCCTGAGCCTGATTACAGAATTCTTGTCTTAATCACGAAATGTTTACCGGTAGTAAATTCTAGAAAGATCATGAGCTATCAATCCAAGTACGACACAAGTTACAACAGTGAACGAGTTAAGGTAGTCTCAAGTAGTCAACAAAAATACGCCAACAAGTACCTTGTTTCAGATCCTATTGTTTTAACATCTATATGTTTTTCAAAGCAGAAAGGAAAATTTTGGTTGAAGAAAAATATCCACAACATGAGATATCAAAGCGATAAGGAGTTAATTTCACCATAAAGTAATAAGTGGATCTGTAACATTTCAACCCCATAGAGCTCTTAGTTCTGGAAGTCCATGTTTTGGTGGTATATGTCTTCATAATGACTATGTCATGTGTTGTTGCCATTCAATTTTATATTTTGTTAAATGTCAGAATTTTGGAGAACCTGGGGATATCACACTCAGTTGTCCTATATAGGGCACTGGTTGACTTTTTTGACTCTACTCTTGTTTGGGTTGCAGATAGAACGGAGGTGAAATCACAACTTCCTATGCAGATAATCATTTCGATCATTTGTGGACTTCAAAAATGTTGCTGGTTTTTATATGCAATCATTACCCCGTATAACTCTGTGGCATTGTGTGACTGGATTTAAATCTTTAGTTCCTAAAAATGTTCTGCTAACCTTGCCATCAATAAGTGATAATGTGCCAATATCATGCAGGTCTCATCACATTCGTTATCTCCACATTTGTATAGATGCAGTACAATGGATAATATAAGTTATGGACAAATAAGGACTAACTGCATTCCCTCTGCTTTCAATTTTCTACCTCCCTCCAAAGAAAAACATATTGATCATAATATTATTGGCTAAGATCAGATACAGCCTTAGACCTAATCTTTTTCTCCTGGGGCCTTTACCACTTCTTCTAATTGGCAAAGATATATAATGACCATGTATAAGCTACATTACAATCTAAATAATAAGAAATGTAAACATTGTTTCCCTGCCCCATTACTGCCCCATTGATCAATATAACTACATCCCCTGTGTTTTGCAGCAACGTGCCAGTGTCATCAAATTTCAGAGCATGGACATGCCAGTGTAACTTCTCTGCCTTCAAATCCAAATTTGACGCAAACATAACAAGTGTCAACCGAATCATTGACTGCATAGTTAGCAGTGAATAGGACTATCCTTGATAAATCAGGCATCATTGACTATGCTTTTTCAGGCCGAATTGCCGAATTTAACCATCTCACCCTGAAATGCATTTGGGCTACATTAATTAACCCTGCAAATTAAAGCAGATCTTATAATGTTGAACAGTAAGGCGTTTATCATTAGTTGTTATGAGAAAACCTACAATACCAGAAATACAAATGTTTTAACAGGTGAAACAATCGACAACATAATATATATAATATATAACATAATATAAGTATGCCCTACTGCCATGGTCCATACTTCATTCTGGCGTCTTTTTACCATCTTTATATAGATCCTGGTATTCATGTCATTATTTTCACAACTCACCAATTTGCGTCGTTCCAATGAGATCAGTCTCACACTCTTTGATGTCATAATTGACGCAAGCCAACAGCAACCACTCTCGGGCTATTTAATGCCCCTCTGGCCACTTCTCCCCACCCTGTCATGCTTTAAGTTACCCGACGTTGCGTTATTATGTATTTCTCTATTTTTGGTTCTTGGCTTGGCTCTGTTTATCAACTATTCTGATCTTTGGAACTCTAGGCTTTGACTCTGTTTCCTGTTTATACGTATTTCTGTACTCCTTGACCTCGGCCTGTCCCTGTCTTTTATACTATCTCAAATCCAGCCTATCTTTAGTATAGAACACTCTGTACCTTAGGTTTGCATATTGGGGTGCACATGCCCAGACACACCCACTATGCTATTGTTTTAGGGGATCAACACCTTAATATTAGATTGATTGACCTGCTTTAATCTGATCTACTCACTGTGCAAGCAGGATATTTTCATTTACAGGCAGATAATATATATACCATGTCTGTCATCACCCAGAATCCACTCTGATTTCCTCCAGAATGTCTTGCTTATGGGAAAGATCAGGGAGGTTGCTGGGAAGGTGCACATGCTATGTTCCCACTGTTACCCCTTATGGTCCAGTTGCAACAAGATAATGTTGTTAAAGAATAAATATTGCATTTATTATATATTTTATTATATATTTTATTATAATTTATTCTGCACAGGGTGAATGCAATATGTTAAGCAGATGAAATTGGGCCGTGTGGTGTTAACAAAGAGAGATGAGATCGCATACATATTTATGTCTCAATATAAAGGCATGATTTTCCATTTGTGTACCTCGTGACGTGTAGTTGAGGGAGAGGGCTGTTCCATGTTAGGTTTAGTTCTTTTTATCCTGGTGTTAATTGGAAGGTGGATTATTCACACCTCTGCTAACACATTGAGACATTTTTGGCAACACTATATTCTATGTGCCTATAAGGTATTAAATGGGTGTAGGTACAAGTCTTAACAGGAATGTGCTGGTAATGTATTGGTAGTATATCTCATTTCTCTCTGTCTATCTATCTATCTATCTATCTATCATATATCTATCTATCCATTTATCCATCTATCTAACAATCTATGAATCAATCAATCTATCTATCTATCTATCTATCTATCTATCTATCTATCTATCTATCTATCTATCTATCTATCTATCTATCCATCTATATATCCACCTATCTATCCATCTATATATCCACCTATCTATCCATCTATCCATCTATCTATCTATCTATCTATCTATCTATCTATCTATCTATCTATCTATCTATCTATCTATCTATCTATCTGTCTGTCTGTCTGTCTATCTATCTATCTATCTATCCATCTATCTATCCATCTATCTATCTATCCATCTATCTTTCCACCTATCTATCCATCTATCTATCCATCTATCTATCCACCTATCTATCTATCTATCCATCTATCTATCCATCTATCTATCAACCTATCTATCTATCTATCTATCTATCTATCTATCTATCTATCTATCTATCTATCTATCTATCTATCTATCAACCTATCTATCCATCTATCTATCCATCTATCTATCAACCTATCTATCCATCTATCTATCTATCTGTCTGTCTATCTATCTATCTATCCATCTATCCATTTATCTATCTATCTATCTATCTATCTATCTATCTATCTATCTATCTATCTATCTATCTATCTATCTATCTATCCATCCGTCTGTCTGTCTGTCTATCTATTCATCCATCCATGTTAGTGCTAAGGAGGCGAGGCATTACAAAGCTGTCTGTGTGCGTTATGTTCTTTGTGACGGACCATGCATCAGGCTACATGAAGAAAAAGATGATTTTTGCAACCACAATAAAGTTAAGCTTCGGTTAAGCAATAACTTTTCTCATCTCTAATATGTAGCAAAAAAATTTAAAAAAGATCCTCAGTTTGATTTATCGAGGAAGGTCGAAAAGGAGAATGCAGTGTTTGCCATATTTCTGTTCCAAGTGGGAAAAAAAATGTCAATATTTAACTTTGATAAAGGGCTTTCACCTGTCCTGGTACATCAGCTGCCTGGACTGTTTTTAAGCCACAAAATAAAATAAAATAAAAATATCTGTGTGCACTTAGAGTGACTTATTGTGTCCAAGAAATCTAAAAGAAAAAGTGCAAGTAATGGGCTAGCTCCATTCAAGGGTCATTCGAGTGCTTTTTAAAAGCTCTGAAAGGTTTTATGTAATGTAACGGTTAATTGCTTGGATACACACGTCGATATTTTACTTTACCAGTTGGGATCCAGAAATTAATGATTGAAAAGTAAAAAGGACAACATAAATAGCCTTTGATTGCTGTAAAGAACATTCCCTTCCTCCCACCCATTTACTGAGACTGTTTAGGCAGCGATCCTCACCAGAGCCCTTTAATGCTGTAGCCCTTAAGACCTGCAGAGATTTTGTTTTTTAACAATACACCAGGGTACCTTTAAAATGCTTTTAGTCTACATCTGAAGTTTTATCACTATCTTTCTTTATTCTCAATGTATATTATAAAAGATCATGTATTGAAATGTATCATGTACTAGAATCTGTATTTCATTTCTGTCCTATAGGTGCCTATGATTAATCACCTATAACAAGGTGCCTATGATTAGGTGCCTTACATGACATTGTATTTCCATGCTCTAAGGGAAGTGAAAATATATAACTATATAATGCCGGGTTCTTTTTTCATGTTATGGTGCTAGCTGACTAATCTTGATGTTGAAGACAAGTTTTTGACACATGAGCGAACAGAGAAAGATTTATTTTTATTTTATTTGTTTTTAAATAATTCAATAATACTTTTTCAGAGTACCCATATTCGTTAAGCTCAGTATATATATTAGGATTATTGATCCTGTCCCTTGATTTGCTTGCTTAATTAATGAGCAAAAAATCCCCACACTTTTTCTAGGCATTTTAGGAAATGATACATGGAATATTTGGGCGCTGCCTTCATTAGAATGGGTGATAAGGAAGCAAAATAAATAAAGCTGTTTTCTGGTATCTTCCCCAACAAATACATACAGTCTGTAGTGGCAATGTCATATTTTTCAGAGCATGTAGCTTAGGATGTGATCAAAAAAGCTAAAGAAGCATTCTGTGCTCAGAAAAGCTAAAGAAGCATTCTGTGATCAGAAAAGATAAAGAACCATTCTGTGATCAGAAAAGATAAAGAATCATTCTGTGATCAGAAAAGATAAAGAATCATTCTGTGATCAGAAAAGCTAAAGAACCATTCTGTGATCAGGAAAGATAAAGAACCATTCTGTGATCAGAAAAGCTAAAGAACCATTCTGTGATCAGAAAGGATAAAGAACCATTCTGTAATCATAAAAGATAAAGAACCATTCTGTAATCAGAATAGATAAAGAACCATTCTGTGATCATAAAAGATAAAGAACCATTCTGTGATCAGAAAAGATAAAGAACCAGTCTATGATCAGAAAAGCTAAAGAACCATTCTGTGATCAGAAAAGCTAAAGAACCATTCTGTGATCAGAAAAGATAAAGAACCATTCTGTAATCAGAATAGATAAAGAACCATTCTGTGATCAGAAACGATAAAGAACCATTCTGTGATCAGAAAAGCTAATGAACCGTTCTGTAATCAGAAAAGATAAAGAACCATTCTGTAATCAGAAAAGATAAAGAACCATTCTGTGATCAGAAAAGCTAATGAACCATTCTGTAATCAGAAAAGCTAAAGAACCATTCTGTGATCAGAAAAGCTAAAGAACCATTCTGTGATCAGAAAAGATAAAGAACCATTCTGTGATCAGAAAAGCTAAAGAACCATTTTGTGATCAGAATAGATAAAGAACCATTCTGTGATCAGAAAGGATAAAGAACCATTCTGTAATCAGAAAAGATAAAGAACCAGTCTATGATCAGAAAAGCTAAAGAACCATTCTGTGATCAGAAAAGCTAAAGAACCATTCTGTGATCAGAAAGGATAAAGAACCATTCTGTAATCAGAAAAGATAAAGAACCATTCTGTGATCATAAAAGATAAAGAACCATTCTGTAATCAGAATAGATAAAGAACCATTCTGTGATCAGAAAAGATAAAGAACCATTCTGTGATCAGAAAAGCTAAAGAAGCATTTTGTGATCAGAATAGATAAAGAACCATTCTGTAATCAGAAAAGATAAAGAACCAGTCTATGATCAGAAAAGCTAAAGAACCATTCTGTGATCAGAAAAGATAAAGAACCATTCTGTAATCAGAATAGATAAAGAACCATTCTGTGATCAGAAAAGCTAAAGAACCATTTTGTGATCAGAATAGATAAAGAACCATTCTGTGATCAGAAAAGATAAAGAATCATTCTATGATCAGAAAAGCTAAAGAACCATTCTGTTATCAGAAAAGATAAATAACCATTCTGTGATCAGAAACGATAAAGAACCATTCTGTGATCAGAAAGGTAATGAACCATTCTGTAATCAGAAAAGATAAAGAACCATTCTGTGATCAGAAAATATAAAGAACCATTCTGTGATCAGAAAAGCTACAGAACCATTCTGTAATCAGAAAAGATAAAGAACCATTCTGTAATCAGAAAAGCTAAAGAACCATTCTGTAATCAGAATAGATAAAGAACCATTCTGTGATCAGAAAAGGTAAAGAACCATTTTGTGATCAGAATAGATAAAGAACCATTCTGTAATCAGAAAAGATAAAGAACCAGTCTATGATCAGAAAAGCTAAAGAACCATTCTGTGATCAGAAAAGCTAAAGAACCATTTTGTGATCAGAATAGATAAAGAACCATTCTGTGATCAGAAAAGCTAAAGAACCATTTTGTGATCAGAATAGATAAAGAACCATTCTGTGATCAGAAAAGATAAAGAATCATTCTATGATCAGAAAAGCTAAAGAACCATTCTGTAATCAGAAAAGATAAATAACCATTCTGTAATCAGAAAAGATAAAGAACCATTCTGTGATCAGAAAATATAAAGAACCATTCTGTGATCAGAAAAGCTACAGAACCATTCTGTAATCAGAAAAGATAAAGAACCATTCTGTAATCAGAAAAGCTAAAGAACCATTCTGTAATCAGAATAGATAAAGAACCATTCTGTAATCAGAATAGATAAAGAACCATTCTGTGATCAGAAAAGGTAAAGAACCATTTTGTGATCAGAATAGATAAAGAACCATTCTGTGATCAGTAAACTTTAACACCAATACCATAAGTGCTTGCATATGCCGCATATGTTTATTTTTACGCTTTACCGTTCATTTTATTTAACATTTCAAGCTGCTAACGTGGAATACATTCTATGATGTAATAGTGGGTAGCGCGTAAAGGGGCATTCACCACTTATCGCTCACTAGAACCAGGAATTTAAGTTGGGTGCTGAGGGTTGCAGCATGTTATCTGTCTTCAAAGAACACTCCACACACATAAAACACACAGCGTGCTGAAGTGCTCTACATGTGAAGTGCTTCCCTTTACATAAAGTGCAGTTTTGAACATAAATTGTCACTTTTATCAATTCATTGTTACACCCACCTGGCTGTCAATCAGACAACCGGTCCTGTTACTTCCTGGTTGCTTAGCTCAGTGGGTCTAAACTCAAGAAGCAGCAATTGCCCAGAGCACCTGCCTTGCAAAGACTTCTCATTGAGCTGCATTGGGAAGTCTGTGATTGGACAGCCACAGAAAGTCTGGGCGGGGTTAGAAGGGGAGGGCTTGCAAAGGCTGCAGACAAGGAATCTGCAGCTTTTGCAACTGTTTTTAGTTATACTGTCAGTTTTTCATTGGGGCTATGTATACTAAATAGTGATGATGATGATGATTATTATTATTGTATTTGGTATCTATCTTTTTAAAATGCGTGCAGACTCGGCGACATGCAACAGACATCAAAATACTTGAAATATTACTGGTGCCAGACCTGTAAGTGTGGAGAATTGACAGGTGTATTGCTAATTTTAAGGCAATAGAGCTAAATTGGAATAATTCTCCAACAAAGCTAATTTCCATGCCTAGTTGTATTTTGGGCTAAAATGTTCAATTACTAGTTAATTTCTCCCGAAATCTCATAAACAAACAAATAATTCAACAAATGGAGGAAACTTCACTATTTAAACATTAATAGTTTTTGCACTGAAGTTCCAATTTGTTTTCCCTTTTAAAATGTGCTGGTCTTTAAAAGGTTCCTAAAAATATTTACAAGACAAGACAAATGTATCTCCCGATGCTAGAAAGATAATTTTATTTGATTTTGTTTTTAGATTTCTGTTGAAAGATTTCTAATGTGAAATGCACTTTTAATTCTAAGCTATTCTCAGATCCAAATGAATGGTAAAGCGGAGAAGTAAAGGCTTGCCAGTCTCCACTAAGCCCGTAATCTGATAGACACTCGGCTGCGGGTTACGGCTTGTCAGTCTCTCTACAAATAGTGATAATTGGACTTGAGAGAATTAAAGTGTGTCCTTAGTGAATAGGATGTAACGTCTACTAAGAAACAAGACGTGCATTGCAGTTTACTTGTTTTCTTAGACGTGGGAAGTGTTTAATGAACTCTTTGACTGCCAAAGAGTTTTGCGAAGCCCAGTTCTGTCATTCCCAAAATGGCTCATATAACCCTCAGCTAATTTAAGTGCAATTAGTGAAATAAACACTAGGTGGCGCCAAAACACTGCACTTTAAATTTTCTGCCATTTAAAAGACAATTGAAAGCCTGGCAGGCATTGTTCATCAATTAAACAAGAACAGACTCCGTCAGTAATTTAATAGTGTGTATTAATGGCCAAGCGTCAATAGTTTGATATAGTATAGCCAAAAGGCCTACTTCTAAAAGCATTTTCATAGTACAGGATTTAACCCCTTGAATGTCATGGCGGTGTGGAGAGTTAACATATTTTCATAGGATGCTTCTGCTCCGGAGTGCAGAGATTTAACCCTTTCAGGGTTTGGTATACGCCATATAGCCTGCGCGAACTGAAATCGTTAATGTATGATAGGATATAAAGGGATTTGCCCAACCATGGGTAATTAAGGAGTTAAATGAGCTTCTTTTAAATTTCCTATCTGCATTATTGTCACGGGATTTTCCTAATCTATTCCCTAAGGGAGATTCCCAAAAATGCACTGCTTTCAAATTGATTATCCATGACGTAGAACCTAATTAATGCAGGAGGAAAGACAGGTGTCTTATGGTAAGTGTTGGTCCTGGGGTGGGTGGCCGGCAGGAACAATACAATATTGTATTTCATGCTATTATCTACCGTTGCTCCTCTCATAGCAGATGTTTCAAGTAAAGTAGCTCTATGGTACTCTCAAAATGAATTATTTTTCCTTTTCACTATAGCTCTGTATAGTAAATGATCCATACTCTCAGCTAGCATGAACCGATAACAACCCATACAGGGTTATTCACTCAAATGAGAATTCAAAGCGAATTTCAAATTTCAGGTGAAAATAACCAAGCTCTGGTTTTAAATTTTAATTTCACTTTAATTTCTCACTTTATTGAATAACCCAGAACTTGGAGCAGATATGACTGTAACATGTAAACGGTATTAAAATGGTGAAAAGACACACGTGGTTAATGGATAAAACACACCCCTGGTTATTTACTAAAATGGGAATTATTGGGAATTCAAATTGGAGACCAAACTAGTTGAATTGGGAAAAGTTTCCGAGTCCGTTAGGCTTCCAGTTTGGTTATTTGACATTCATTTTGAATTGACTTTGAATTCCTCACAATTCTCACTTTATTAAATAACCCTGAAAATTCTTCGCAAGTCATGTGCGTATTATAATTCTAATGTAAGAGCTACGAAAAATGCATTGGCAGCATTACAGGGAGCAAAACATAGGGACTCAATTCTAGAAATCCGGGAGAGTTGGCAGGTGTAGTCTTATTTAAATGCACGTGTTCTTTTGAGACAGGTGTTTTTTTACTGCTGAAATTTAGATTAATCGGGTATGGTTTTCATGTATAAAAATATAAAATCTCTGCATCAGGTACACTGTGTTTTAGGGTGAGGCTCTGTAACATTTTGTATATGATTCTACCAGAGAACACAGCACTTGATGTTGTACAGGAAAACTGATAAATCAAGAGAATTCATCAAAATAAAAAAAATGACCATTTTTTTTTTAAATATTCATTTTTGCTAGGTGATATAATGTGAAAAAGGTTGCCTGCATCTCTGATTAAAAATTAAAAAAATAATTAAAAAAGGTAAATAATGATTATACAAAAGGTTAAATAAAACCTGCACCTTACTAGGAATAATATTAATATTGCTTTGACTTGACATGTCATTACTTTGATCCTGGATTATATGAATGAAACTGGAATTTGGAATCTGGGTGAGTGGGGGGTGGGATAGGGAATAACATTTTTTTTTTTTAAATCTAAAATCACGTGACTTAATTCTTGTATTTAAAAAAAAAAAAAAATTATATGCGTTGAACACAAGCATTAAATTTCTGTTTGGATATCCTTTTACCCTAAAATGCTCCTTCCGTTTGAGAGTCTGATGACAACGGGGAGGAGGGGGAGGCGTTGTAAAGACAGTGGAAAAAAAAAAATCTGACATCAGCTTGCGTTTCCTTAAACCAAGTCCTGCAGCCCCTCCTCCAACCACTAATCCATTCCAAGCTCCGCTCGGCTCAGTTAGTTGCATGGAAATTGCACTGCATGGTGGGGATCTTGAGACTGTGACATCCAGCAGCCGGGAGACCTCACTTTAAATAACAACCCTCTATTTTATGGAAAGAGGATCAGCACATTTTTTTGAAGCCTCTACAATTTAAGGTTTCTTCTAGATAAAAAAAAATCCATAACTACTCGTCATCGGGCTTTCCAGTGTTCTAGCTGGGCTCCAGTTCATACCATTGATCAACAACCGTATCGTGTTTAGTGTGTGTTGCTGTGTTAGTGTAGCACACCTGAGCCTACATCCGCCCTTCCCCAAAGAGAAATCATGTCTAAAAAGCGCTGTGTTGTGCTCGAGGGCTGGGACCAACACAAGGAGTCTGCAAGCAGCATGCAGTTGAATGGAAGTGTCCAGGCACATTCAGAATGAAGGGTTGGTGGATTAATTCCAAGCAGAGATGTCGGTGCCTTTACTTAAGATTGGGGTTGTCCTGAGCACTATGGCGATGATTACCAACTGGATGTCGCAGACGTTGCCGTCCTTGGTGGGTCTCAACACCACCAAGCTGACCGCAGCCAACGCCGGTAACTTGGATAGGAGCACCGGGGTGAGTCACTTTTTGATACATTGCTTCGACCCCGAGAACAGGTTGAGATTTTCTGTTAGTTTATAAAATACTGTGTGTCCTGCCTTTAATAGTGGAGTCGCTCTTATTCTGGGCTAACATTGTTACCCTCGGGGATTCATTTAACCCTCGGAGTGATGAACAGGGCAGGGATTTCTTTGCTGGAACTCATAATGACAAATCTAGTGTTTAAATAGATTGAAATATTTATTTTAACCTTTTATTTAACCTATAGGTGCTGATATACATATAAATTCTTTCTGGCCTATTTGTAGAAACAAATACTGGCAAACCCCTCTCTAAATACATATATATTTGAATATATTTTAGCATGCACATTAAATTTATTTAATGTGCCCAACACAGTTCTATTAGGTCTGTTTTCATTGTGTGTTAACCTATAAATGGTGATTGTGTAAGTGTGTGTCGGGCATCTTAATACTCAATCTCAACCCAGAGGATAACTTGTTTCCTTTTCTTTAATATTGTTACTTTGTACCCCTATGTAATTAGGGATGGCAAACTTATTTTGCGGTCTACAACTCTCACTATGCTTAGCCATCAGCGGCAGATATTTTCTACACCCGTTGGAAATCTGTAGATTGGATACTTAAGAGTCCTGCTGCTAAAACCGCTCCTGTCTTTACATTGTGGTGTGCGTGCTTTGTGTCAGATCGTCTTTGAATTCTCACTGGTTGGTTGTCAAGTAAAAGCCGTTAATGTGGCAGCTACAGGCTTAATTTGCATACTAGTAAGAAGGCATTGTCATTCTCAGAGGACATTGGTAAAATTCCGTATCTAGGGGAGGAACGAGGGACAATGCACGAGGATTCATTTCTGACTTCCTTGTTAACCCCCTGTCCAATTCGATAGGAAATATCTTGTGTACGCCTTGCTCTTGCAGACAAAAACAACCTGTTACATGTCACATTTTTAAAATGAATTTACATCAATGAACACGTCCGTATGTAAATATCCGTTGAGGAAACTGTGCCTTCGATTTCATTGCTTTCAATTCATAGAGAGTCAATGCCATCTGTAAAGTCAAACATAGACACTTTGGGGTTTATTTACTAAAAATTTAAATAGTGGAGAATTGACAAAAGAATTAAAAATTTTAGGCCCAATTGGGAAAATCCAGAAAATTGCACATCTTGCCTATTTTGGGGTAAAATTTGCAAATCTCATGTTAGTTCACGGTATTACTCCAATTATTGAATAATTCCCAATATCTTTCCCCAAAAATGACAATAGTAAAAAAAAATATCAAGTTCACTACATTTTATTACATTGCCCCCAATGTTTAACCCTTTAAGAGGTGAAAATTGGACAACGCCCCTAGCCACTCCAGGGGTTAACGCAGACACAGCGTTCTCTTGATTATCCTAGAATTATGATTTCATATTTTCCCCATTGGTGATATAAAGTGTTCGTTGGCAAAAAAAAGAGAGAAAGATTGATTCCCAGTAGTGTGATTATATGATATTTTCCTGAATCTGCACTCCCTGGAAGAATTACATTTTCAAGCAGTAAATGAGGTCCTTTACAATGCATGTTTATCAGTATCTGGAGGCTCTAATTAGGTGGTGAAACCCATAAAGCAATCCCAACGCTTGAATCTAATAGAATAGGATGGTCATCAGGCCTAAAAATGATGTATGACTTGTCAGTATTTGCATCAAACATCAGGATCAATTTGGTTTAGAAATGGGTCTTTTGGTGACTATACCCCAGTGAGAATCAAAAAAGTTTACAGGTAAAATAAAGTCTTGGAGCAATTATTTTTTTAATTATTCTTACTTTGTATATCAGGCAAGAGAAAAAATGAAAAACAAAAATACTAGCAAATATAAAAGCGTTTTGAGGTCTGTTCATTTTCTGATGCCCTTAACATTTTAGTCTGTGCCAGGATGGAAAGCAATTTGGCGATCGGCCTTGAGATTGGATTGCTAAGCTGTTTTTCCCACAGTGAGTCCCCAGCTTTAAGAACTGAGCCATATACCATCTGACTAATGCATTTTAACACTTAAAATGCTGGCCTGTTGTACAACAGACCTCAGCCGCCCCGGAAAATTTGAAGTCTTTACTACGATTGAGCCTTTTGAGCTTGGAAGGGGTAGCCGACGCTCGGCAGACCTCTGGATTTATAGCATTTCTAATGTGTGCCTTGCACGTCTTTTTCTAGATTTTTCTGTTGCATATTATAGTGATTAGTCCTGAAATTCTTTTGCCCTAATGAGCTGCATCATGGCAAGCGTTACTGAACTATGGATGGGCTTAATCATTCGGCTAACGCTGACTTTTATTTCAGCACCGTGGACAGCAATCTCTGCCTTCTACTTTGAGGAAGGCAGTTTTTCCTGTTTCATAATGTATGATTGACCCGCATATGACTTCGACCTTGTTTTCCAAAAAAACTAAGCAGTGAACTGATTAATTGCACAAGTCTGTGTGTCTTCTCTCTTAATAATACGTGTTTTTAAGAACTGCTTTATAAAAACATAAAATATCAAACCCATATAGTAGTTAAGTCCCAGCTATATTTTTTAGGGTGCTGCTTTTCGGGCGTCAATCCAGTTTGTCCAGATAACATTTAACCCGTTGTGATACATTGTATAAATTATGAATTTCAGCTGCTGCGGCATGAGTTTGGCACCTGACTTACGTTACATCCAATGATGCATTTTACTTAACGTAAATGTGAGTTTTTAGTGGCCCTAGCTCAATTTCCCCATGAGGACGTAGTCATCGTTATACCCAGCTTCAAGAATTGTACTAATACGTATATATATGAAAAAATGTCAAAGAATCAAAAAATGTAGGTGTAATTGTTTCTAATGCAGTGTTTAAAATAGGCAATGTACTTTTTAAAAACATTTTTTTACTTAATGCAACATTCCCATGGTACCCAGTGCTCCAGAGGCTCAATACTGTTTCTTTTTAGTAATTCAGTTTCTTTTTCTTTCTTTTCTTGTATGTATTCCCAATTTGTAGGTGTTGCCGACTAATCCAGAGGAAAGCTGGCAAGTTTACAGCTCTGCTCAGGACAGCGAGGGTCGATGTATATGCACAGTGGTGGCGCCACAACAGACCATGTGCTCGCGAGACGCTAGGACGAAACAACTCAGGCAGCTATTAGAGAAGGTGAGATGCTTTTATCGGCCCACCTTGCTGGCAGTCTCTCTCATACACAGCATCTCGAGTTACTCCGACAGTGAAATTTGATATTTTTGGGAACGCTGGGAAATGTGTTTGCACTTTGAAATCTAAATAGACTTTGACTTTGCAAATAATCTCAAAGTCTTCCTTTAGATTGGTGGACTGTATTGAATGTGGTTAAGCTGTTCAGCATCAAGCTGTTTGGAAAAAAAATAGCATAACATTTTTTGCAGCCTGCAGAGAAGTCCTGCAGTGTACCAGAGCTCAACCAACATCTTCCTCTCTTCCTGGTAGTAGAAATGCAGGTAGTGTACTTTAAGACATTTTAGCGTTTCCATAGTCAGAAAGGCTGGAAGGGTTTTTTAATATTCCAGTCCTATGTCTGGACTGACGAGAGTAAGTTTTCTATGTCAGGTAAATACTGGTGTTGGAACAGTGGGAAAGGTAAGTAGGGCACATTGAACTCATATATATGTTAACTTTGGATAGTGAGGGCTAGCTTATGTTGTCTGCAATGGCCACAAAGTTAACTGAGTTACAACCTCTTTATTTTTTAAGCAAATAAAAAGAAGAATCATGGAATTATGACTTGTTCTAAGTTAAAAAAAAAATTATCATGAATGTAAAATACTATATAAGACAAAAAAAGATTATAAAAGAACACTGTAAACAGATCAACACTAAATAGCCACCCCATGGTTTGTATCCGAGTTAGTTGTAGATTGTGTCACAGCAAAAGGAGCATGTATCAATAACATATCAGACCAGTCCATCACGTAGGGCAGCTAGACTTGTCAAATCTCTGCCAGATGTCCTTTTTGGCTTCTCTTACTGTCTGTCTTGTCGCTGATTGTTAGTGGTGCAAATCTTGATTACATTGTAGTCAATAACTTGTAAATAAACCAAATATGACATGGTTGTTCACAAAAGTGTGACTTGTCAGGGATTCAAAGGGAATATTTTTTTGCCAAAAAGACGAATTGGAAAAACTCTCCCAGTCCTTTTGACTATCGTGGCCTACAATTGTAAATATTCTTAAATTCACTTCAAATTTCTATACTTGTAAGAGAACAAAATAAACCAGTATTTGCTAACTTGTGCATTTGGTTTTGAACAAATTGTGATTTGTCGTTTTTGGGCGATTGGCGGTTATTCTGAATTTCATTACTATGTAACACTATATGGACCAATCATGGGAAAATTGACTATTAGTGTACTGCAAGATATATATAACATCTATTTTGAAGTAAACTGTTTGCCCAATTTTGGTAGCCTTTTTGCTCACCTGAATCTCTTTTTGCAAGATGTGTGAATTCATCTAAACTGAATCACCACATACAAAAAGATAAGTACTGCGCTCACTCCCATCACTCCTGGGCGGCCGCAACGACCACAGTACACATAGAATGACCACATAAATCACAAATCCATTTTTTTTTTTTTGTATGGATTGGTTTGGCCAAAGTGATTTATTTTTATTTTTTTTTGTCCCGAAAAAGTCTAGCAATTAACAATGTTTACATATACTGGATATGGGTACTGAACTCAAGTAACTGACAACCATAAACAAGCCTGTTTTTAGCAATAAATATAGTATATAGCTGTTAGAAACATAAGGCTATTTAACTGTTAGAAAAAAATCTAGCAAACTTCTAGAACTGAGTCTTTCTCTTGAGACCTCTGGACCTTGTAAATCCATGTAGTCATCCAATACCTAAATTAGTGTAAAAAAAGAGTTGATGTTGAAGATAATTACAATGGAGTTTCGAGCTAAAGTGTAACATTTGCTACTATGTCTCATTGATGGACGTGGATTGGCCATCGACCAGTTTTGTGAAAACGCACTGTAAGCAGTTATTGGCCTCACAAATGCTCGTTGACTCCGGTCACCTATAATCTGTTACGTAATGTAATCCTTGAAAACATTTCATTTTAAAAGACTAAAACAGTATAATATGTTTATTATTAAAAAATATGCTAAAGTTAATGAATTTCACAACAAAAATATGAGACAAAAGAGGGATTGTGTATAAGAGGATAAAAAAACTATAGTCAATAGGAAACTTTGCTAGTCCAAATAATAATGTGCAATTAGGAAGGAAGGATTATTTTGTGGGTTAAATGCCAATTTAGCCATGGAAATGTTTAACCTTGCCTATATGATAAATACATGGGATACCTGCTATTTTGCAAGTCAACATAAATTCTATATAAATGTATAATATATTTAAAGAATTGCACTTTTGATTAAACACTTGAAGTTTTTCAGTGAAGTGTGAATTTCCATTCATTTGCACTTTTAGGCAAACCATTACCATTATTGAAATAATACAGTTTCAAAAATGCCCCGTTTCTGCTATTTTGCCAACTTAGTTGTTTTTCGAAACTCAGTTAATCTGGCTTAATTTTTCAACTCGCTTTTAATCACATTGAGTTAAGTCACTGTTTAGTAAATACAGTCTTGCGGTTTTCTGTTTATTTCACAGGTGCAAAACATGTCCCAGTCAATAGAAGTATTGGACAGGCGGACCCAAAGAGACCTGCAGTACGTAGAGAGGATGGAAAACCAAATGAAAGGCCTGGAATCGAAATTCAAACAAGTGGAAGAGACGCATAAACAACACCAGGCCAGACAGTTTAAGGTGTGTATTCATTCTCGATAGCATCCAATGTGCTACATTGGAAAGTTAAGGCTATAATTGTGTTTACCTGTGTATAATACCTCAGCCACAGGGTGACGAGGGGGGACCAGAACATGAACAGAATCAGCAAGTATATTGTAAAACATAGCGAGACAAATACAGAAACATATAATGAGACAATATACATCTAGGGCAATACCAAAATTGTGTAGATTTTACAAGCTAACTGCAAATTTGGGGCACAAAATTGCCAAACTGAAAAAACCCTAAAACATTCAATTCGCCTCTTTTTGCCTGTTCGTAAAATTCACTTCGGCATTCAACACATATCTCAAACAGGAGAGAGTTCTATCAAGGAAGTCAGGAAGTAACTCAGTCAGTCATAACCCTTACTATACTTTCCATAGCAGTACAGAGCTTATCCCACAAATCTCATTACATGTTTGTTTTATATGGGGATTCTGGGAGTTGTAGTTCTGTTGTCTGCTTTCTGTTGTAGAAACTAACAGCTGAACTACAGCCACAAGGAACCCAGGCACTGACCTCCCATACAGTTGGAGTTGGAGTTATTGAAACAAAAAGGGAAACACTGCAGTTTGGAAGAAATGGGCAGAAATAGTAGGCTTAGAAAAAGAAAAAAACATAGCCAGCGTAATCCAGCTGTAACCCAAACCAGACATTGCACCTACCCATGTCAGTGCCTAGAATATGTATTTAATTTAAATAATTTGAGAACATCCAGGTGTCTGTTCACTTATTTTTTTTATGTGTACTTTAAACAACTTTCAGGTGTATACATGACTCCCCAAGCACCATAACGGTCTTTGCTGATTGAATATGTTATGGTGCAGTGAGGTTTCCTGTACATGTCTCCTCATTGTGTGACTTAGAACTGCACTGATCTGCAAAATTGCTGCAGTTGTTAGCACACCATCATAGACATTACAGAGGTAAATTCAAAAACCAGTGGAAAATACACATAAATTAATCTGATTAGCAGGTTATAGAATCTGTTACCTTGCACAGTAACTTTATTCATGTCTAAACATGAATGAAACTACTTATGGCCCTTTTATAGGATTATTTTAGAACACTCGGAGATTACAATTGAAGAACCAGGATTGATCGCAATTTACCATAGGTGCCAACGGTCCCGAATTGGCTGTAGCAGTCCCGCATTTTGAGGTACTGTTCCAGCAAAAATTGATCCTGGGAATCTGTCCCGCATTTTGAAACCTGCCAGCTGACTTCAAAATGCGGGAGGCAACTGGGAATTAGGACCATTCATGGAGTATTTCAGCATGATCTGCCTGTCAGTCATCCTGGCTACCCACCTTAGGGGAGGGCCCACACTTTTAATGAGCGGACATGCCTCCTTTGACAACTGGACACCCCCCCTTAGATATTAATATCTCATTAGTTTACTTTAAAATATACATAGATACATTATAATGCCATGAAATCCGATCCGATGGGATATATGTGCCCATTTTATCCTCTTTCTAAACCTGGATGAAGTTGATCTTCAATACTGCATTCTCAAGATGTTTTTAACTCCAAATTTTTTTTACATACCTCAATAATTTGATTGTAATTATTTTAAAACTTGAGTGGTGTTTCCTACCACCAACATGCTCCTCCCCCGAGGAATGATTTAAATAGAACAGTTGTCTAATAATGGAATGCTCCTGCAGTATTCTAAGGATATTGTATTACAAGCAGATCAATTAAAGCCAAAAATTGCCATTGTGAATCAAGTAACAATTATTGTGATGGTTTCCTTCATATGAGGTCGAAACCTGTTTTAACTTATGAGTCTCTAAAGTATTCTAATCATACTGAAATCCAAAACCAGACCACCTGCAGATATTAATATAATCCTATCTATAAAATATCACTTTATAAAATATCTGTTTGTGTTCAAATGTTATGTTTTTTAGTTTTTTTTACAAGTACTCAAACACTGGGCCTTTCCATACCATAGAGCAGTCAAGGCAATCTTGGGTACTCCAGATGTTTTGGACCACACTTCCCATGATGCTTTGCCAGCATTATGGGTGTAAGAGCATTATGGGGGATGGAGTCCACAGCATCTGGAGTGCCGAAGATTGCCTATCCCTGCCATAGAGTATTTGTTTTTTGTGTTATTTACCTGTGAATTTTTCATTTTAGGAGACAGATTAGCTTTGCAACATCCTTTTCTTACTCAAGAGCCAATAGGTGAAGGGCTATCACCAAAATATGTAGATTCTGCATATTTCCTCATTTTTTTGTGGTGTAATGAATGTAAAACCAATGCATGACTTAACACAGACAGGTCCGCTATCACGTTAAAATGTTATGGTACCCTATTCATTACGGAAATAGTTTGTTGGGTCATTCAATACCTTTTGTCCCAACTAATGAAAACTGACAACAATCTGGGTTGATATTATACTCAGACGCACACAAAAAAAATTAGATATCATGGAAGCCACCCCTGGGTCGGGAAGATTTATTTTTGGCAGTTAGTCTTATAAATAGGCCGGTGAGCCGCATTTTGGATGTAATGAGGCATGACACTTGTTAATTAGAGAACAATGACTCTAAACATGATAAGCCTCACTGAATAAACAAGCTCTCCGTATTTTGTGAGTAGAGGGCAGAATTTAGATTATCGAGTTGCGTAATTGTTATCGAGAGAAATCTTTAGTTCCTTGTTTTTCATGAAATTTGTTTTCGAACAAGCTTCCAACTTGAGAAAAGCAAATTAATCCAGTTGGCATTTGAAAGGCTTTTTTAAATATGAATTTCAAAAACAGCAACAACAAAAAAAAAGGAGTAGGATGGCATAAGCGAACTAATTGGTACTTTCTACAATACATTAAATAGGGCATTGTTTGGGAACATCTCGTAGAAACTGTAGTCGTTTTTTGGTCATTTTGCAGATCAGTAATTGTATTTTTTGTTCTTAAAGGTCACTTTATAAAATGTCAGTTGTAGCTGCCAAAAACAAATTTGTTTAATAATTTCAGAGGTTAAGTACAGTTTTTGAAACCCTATCAGTTTCATATTTATAGTTTTGCACTTTTAAAAGCTGATTATTGTTTTTAACCATATTTAATATGTTACCCAAGCCCTTTTTTTTCCCCACTTGCCTAGAACAAACATGATGATTGGTTGTGCTTAAATATTTGTCCCGCCCACCAATTCCTATTCTGGCAATTTTGGACCAAATCAAAATTTTTAAACAATATTCAACTCATGGTAAAGACAGGGGGGGCGGGGGGGGGAGGAAATGAAGTACAGTCTTACATTAGGGTTTCTTGTATATGCCATTTTTCTCATAAAATAGCTATATTTTATCATCAGAAATGCTGTACAGCAATCAGAATTTCCAAAATAAGCACAGAACTTGTTTTACCAATTTTAAAAAGATTATTATAAGTTAGCGTAAAGAGCAGGCTTCCCAACAGTCCCAATTTAGGGGTTGTGTCACGCCACCCCTCTTTTGTTCCCTGATGTCAAGCATCTCAGAACACCAGAGATTACTCTCCGGACAGCACAGCGTTAGGGCACTATTAGATGTGCTTGCGCTATGCAGTGGGCCCTAGGACTATATAGGAAGCAGTTCCGCAGTGCACCCTGCATGGTCCTAAAGGCTGGGGATCTGGCCAGGCATCCTGTTAGTTAGCAACCTTTTCTGGGTTAGTGATACGGGCCCCACCCAACCCGTTCCTACAATATAATTTATAGAATATGATGAAGAGTATGAAAATAGAGATATTTAAATGTCATTGCCACATTTCTTTCCAGAAATATATCCTGTCCATGTAAAATCCTTCCAATGCATTAGGTTGGCAGATCATTTTGAAAGTTGTAGTACATCAGTGTCTGGGAGGCCAGAGTTCGACGACCCTAATATAGAAGGTAGATTCTCTGCCTTGAGAGCTGAGTGACTGTCCGCATATAAAACACCCCTCTCCGTTTTCTCACCCTAATTAAGCATGCAAACCTGGGCGGACTCAGCATATTTGATCTGCGTTATTAGGTTTAAGGAAAAAAAAATGGCTCAACGGGAATGTAATTTGAATTGGCTCAGATCACAGAGTAGGTGGTTTTGCAAGATGCAATTTTATGAAGAACGTGCTATTTAATATATTTTAATAAAAGGGAAATGCAATCATTTATCCAAACTAGCAAAAGTATGCAGAGGAATGAAAAATAGCAATTAACATGATAAATATTGTAATAATCATGCCTTTGCATACAAAGGCCCCCCTGACAGTTCTGAATTCAGCAGGACTTATGATTTCGGCATCATCTCCTGCCGTCCCGATTTTGTTCTGTGGTGTCCCACATCTGGGGACACAGCGGATCGGTCACATCAAAGCGCAAGCATATCATAAGATGCGTTTGTGCTGTGAATGGACATTAAGATCCTGCAGAGAGCACTTCTGCAGTGCACCCTGCATAGTCTGGGGGGCTGGGAGCCAACCAACCCTTTTCTCAGTGTTTCCACCTATTATAGGCATCACCAGTGACAGGAGTCATTTGTAGAGGCATGCGCTAAATGTTTTTTAAGTTTGTAAACAATGTTCTTTTTTTTGCAAGTTTTTTATATAAGCAATATTTATGTTTATACATAGGTCGTAAAATATAGTGGTAATGGACAGATATGCACATTATTTTTAATTGTGCAAAAAAAAGTATTATTTTATGGTAGGATATTTCAAATAAGTAAAATGACTTTGGGATATATTTACTAAATAGTTATTTGTCTTTGAGAAGTGTCAATTTGCCGCAATTCACCATTTAGCGGACAGAACTGGCTTACAAGTTTACGTATGAATTTTCATCAATCCACTTTGAATTTAAAGTAATTTTCAAATTCTAAGACAAAATGGCTGAATTGAAAACTTAACTGACTGAGATTTTTTTTTTCATTTTAGTTTTTTTTGGCCTTAAATCTAATGTTCATGACATTCACACTTTAGTAAATAACTCTGTAGAGTTTATTTACTAAGCAGTAAATTATAATGAGTTGATAACCAACTAGTCTAATTGAGGTTAAAATAGGCAGTTAGAAATTTTTTAGCCTTACATTTTGAATTTGTTCAATTTTGGAGTTTATTAATTAACCCTGTGTGTGCAGGGAGGGTAAAGTAAATAGTTGCACTTTAGGCGAGGGAATTTTCAATGACAGGTTAAATATATACATTGTCATTTTATGCAGCTGTTATTTAGAAATATCACTGACAGTGTTATTCACAAACATGAGAGATGTTGCAAATTCAAAATGAAATCACACTGAATTTCAAATTTAAGGTCAAATCAGCTCAAATGGAAACGAATTTGATTTGGAGAATGTTTCACGTTTGGCCTTAAATTTGAAATTCACTTAGAATTCCTGGAAATTCAAATTTAAGTGAATAACTCTGTACGCAGCCCTGTGAGAGACACAAATTGATTCTTATTAATATTTTTTGTTCGATATGTATTAATTTTGCAAAAATAAAAATAACAAAACAGAATTAGTTGATAAATCTATAGAACGCAAAAAAAAAAAAATCCCTTCTGCCGTAAATAGATTTCAGTAGATTTACCTCCTTGAAAAAGAGGTAAATAAATTTGAAAAAAACCCTCTGTTTTGTCCTAAAATTCCCATTCCCCCTCCAGTTCTCTGTAAATTCCATATACTTTGCATATAAGTGTAATAGAAACAATTAAGTGCCTAAGCAAGATTTAAAGGTGCAGCCATCAAAACAGATTAACGCGTGTGAATGTAGATCATAGAACACTGCGCTAGTTTATAGCATGACATTACCATTGTACTCTTTCTGAATAAGTTTACCACTTAACACTGATTAATGGACAATACTCCTTTAAGAGTTTGAAATTGAATGAGCTGAAAGGCACAGAAGAACCTTAAATGATATATCCTTTCAATAGGAGAAACGTGCGTATTGGGTATCATTTTCCTTTAAGAGATTACAGATCAGGTCTCAGCTGCTGCATTGCTAATGGACTGCCCTCCATTTGCCATGGAGACACAACACTGGCAAAGCATCATGGGAGGTGTAGTTTCATAGCAGCCTGTAGAACTAGCGAGATGGTATTAATGTCTCGGCATCTGACATTAGTCTCGTTGGCTTATCTTTAATTGATCCCACAGGGGAAGAATCAGTTCTGGAAAAAAAGCTTAGCTTGAGCTGTAGAGCATTGTACGTATTGCTTTAGAAATAACATCCTCCTGCCTTTTCGAGAAAAATTCTAATAACAAGTGTGTAGTGTTTTATAGCTCTACTTTGTTAATAGATATTTGTAGAAAATGGTATCGTAAATATATATTGCTATACTTTCAACAAATTATCGTTTTACTCATATAATTTCATGTGTGTAACTTATAATGGCCTCGATTTTAATATATTTTTAAAATGATTTTTTTCACAATATTAAAAATATCAAAAATATATTTCTATAAAAAAAAATATCAATATATTAAATGCATTAAAATACTAAAATATCTTTTGAAATATTGAAAAAATATTAAATCATTTGAAAAGCTTATTAAAAAAATATTACATCGAGGCCTATGACCATACCAAAAAAAACTTTTCCCAAAGAGAGTGGACATAATTACTGATTTGGGGCATAGCACTCTTCTTTGTCTAATTCTGCTTGAATCAATGTTTCTTAATCACCTCCCACTTTTCCATATATGGCACACTTCTTTGGCAATGAAAGTCAATTTCCTGACTCAGTAGGAATGGTAAGAACCCCAGGTCACTGAGATACTGATCCACAGTTGTTCTTTTAGATAGTTATGAACACCAATAGGATCCCTATGATTTATCATATTGGCTACATGTTTTAAGTCTTTTCTGTGGTTCCTCTGGGGCGGTGTTACTGTCTCTGTGCAGGGGAAGTACAATGTAACTCCACCCACTTTTTGTGCATTCATTGTTTATTGGTTGCTATTATCTGTGCAGTTTCTCTGCTCCACAGTCCTAGATCCACTCCCCTCACCCATGATACGGTTATATGATGATTTCTCGAGCTTATTGAAATATCAGGCTTTTTAGGAGGTGGGGTTCAAATCATATTGACTTTGACTTACTAAAGAGCAATAACAAACTTAGAACCAGATACGATGCAATTGCAATTTAGCATTTATAGAGCCTTAATTTAGCATTTATAGAGCCTTAGTTTGGAACACGCACATACATAAAGACATATACTTACTCATTCACACACACACAGACTATAAATACGATCACAGAAGCGACAAAACAAAAAAAATAGCATATTGATTTTTTCCAAATATTTTAAAATAAATAATTGAAATTTTAAAAAATATTGAAAATTACAACAACAAAAAAATGCAAAAAAAATCCAATGGTTTTGTTTTAAAGCAGTCCATGATATTTTGTTTATGAATGGTTATTTGTTTATGAGTTAGGTTAGTATTTTAGCTCTTCAACAGTATTTCATTTTCTTGCTTACAGGGCTAACTTAACTTGCAGTGACTGAAGAGGCAGTTATCTCCCAGATTACCTTGAAAGAGAGACACAGAGCATTTGGGCACCTTTTTCATAATTTTCTTTTCTTTTTATTTTTTTTAATTTTAATTTTCCCAATTAGTGCTTTATCACTAAGGAAACCTTGAACACGTTGAATTCAAATCTTCCTTTGCATGCGAATGTAGCTGCATTTCATGAAGAATTTTTAACCTTGTCAATGCATATAAATATATATATATCTCTATTTTTTCTTTTTTTTTTTTTTAAAGAAAGAAATCTTTGTGTATGTGTTTTAAAAGCATGTAAAAAGAAGATGTTGCATTTGGAAAAAAAAATACAAATGACTAATAAAATCCTTTCCCAAATACGTGGTATTTCAGACTGTTTAATACGGTATTTCCTATGCATTTGATGTGTAAATGTTGCTTTTTTGTGAGGGGTTTAAACACAATGACACTCACATATGAAACAAACAGGACATGAGGCAGGCATACATCACGCAGGCATACGTCAGGCAGGCATACATCACACAGGAAGCGTAGAGGCAGGTAGGTAGGCATCAGGCAGGCAGAGAGGTAGGCACAGGGCAGGGTGTTACCAAATTTTGCATGCAGAGCACTGAACCAGCTTATTTTAACCTTGCAGGCAATAAAAGCGAAAATGGAGGAACTTAGACCTCTCATACCAGTGTTGGAAGAGTACAAGGCCGATGCAAAATTGGTATTGCAGTTTAAGGAGGAGGTCCAGAATCTGACGTCAGTTCTAAACGAGCTACAGGAGGAGATTGGCGCCTATGACTACGAGGAACTGCAGAGCAGAGTGTCAAATCTTGAAGAAAGGCTCCGTGCATGCATGCAAAAATTAGGTAGGCATCGGACACAATTTGACCCCTGCATCAGACACACACACACAATACTTGTAGGTAGTGGTGCCGAAACGGCGAGCACCGTTTAAAAACACTCACCAAAAATTAACAAACAGCCTAACACTGTTTATATGCTGTGTTTACATATCTTATTATGGCTTGGTTCTTGTAAGATGTCTTTAATTAGATGTCTATTTGACTCTCTATCACATAATACTAAGATGTGACTGACGACCTCTTTCAGGTGACAAGTAAAATAGTTCCACCTGTTCTATAAACATTGCTGGACTCGTAGTGAGTTGTAGTTTGGACAAGGGCCTAATGTTTAATTGTCTACTATACATGCCTCCAGCATAATTCGTTTTAAGGCATGTTTTTAAAACACTTGTTCTTAAAACAGTGTCCAAAAGCCCATGTTTTATTGATATCCAATGGAGAGGTATTTATACACAAGCCGTTGATTACTGGTTTGAGAGTACTGTGAAATTGCTTCCATCCTAAGTTTTTAACAGAGCCTAGAGACAGTTATGTTTGCAAATGTAATTAGTAGAAAATATTAAAGGTGAGCTTTAATACTGTCACTTTAGAAGTGTCAGCTACGCTCCCAATACATTACTCGAATGATGCTACTTCCGCCCGCACTGCAACAATGCAAACTTAACCAACACAAATGTAATGACCCTCAAAAAGACTATAGTAATTAGCAAGCTTAACAAGAAAAGCAAAACACATACTGATGTATAGACACATTCTAATTTGAATTTTATTCTGTCATTTTTAATATCTCAATTGATTGTATTCATTTTTGTGTATGCGTTAGATTTGGGAGAAATGATTGATGCTTTGATAAATTTTTTACATCGGAATTCTAAAACCTATTAATCCTTGAGGTCTAGGGAAACTCATTGTGTATTACTCACGAGCGTGACCTTTGTCAATGGTCTTTTTGTGGTTTTGATGTGCTTTGCAATGAGCCAAATTTCAAAGCCATTAAATGGCAGTTCTTGCTGTCAGCAGTATGACCACCTGCTTAGGTCACCTTTAAAGTAAACAATAGTGTTTGCCAAAATGGAAAAAAATGCAAAAATCAGTTCAGCAGATAAAATCCTAGCTTGAAGCATCTTCAGGACAGCGGATATAAATATTTATATTGTACATAATCATTCATTATAATGCGTGTAAGTCCCGAGAAACCTTTCTCACACGTATAGATGAGAAGAGTCCAAGCACATGTATTATTCTTGTTGTTAAATAAATATATGTGCATTATATGTGCCCACTGTTAGATAACATGATTCTGTTAAATGCTCACACAAAGGGATTTGTGGACATATATGATTTGAAGATGCAAATACCCGTAGACATGGCTGTTGTCTGAAGGAGTTCCATTACCCTGCAGTTGGCACAACAAAAGTTTTAATTAAAAACATTTCTTAATTGAGTAGATTAAAGGAGTCTGGTTAGAACAAAACAGGCAATTTTTTCTTAAGGTTTAGGCACAATTCCCTCTAAGCCCCGTACAGATACTGTTAAGAAAACACTCGTTCTATAACACTAGACTGCAATAAAAGAAACCATAAACAAACTCTGGTGATGTTCTCTAAACTGGAATTGTGGAGAATTTACTAGAATTGAACATTTTTGAACAAAAAAAAAAATCTGAAATAGTCAGATATTTTTTCCAGCTTGGCTTATTTTATTCTTTATCTTCAATGCAATATATTTCCTGGTTTTGTGAATAACTCCAAATGGTGGAGCATCTCAACTTTAAACTATACATTTATAATAAGGAACCTTTTCTTAATGGAAAACTATCAACCCTCACAGCATTCCCTCCCTGAGCGCTGCCAAAGTGATGCCTAATTTGATGCAGGTCTAATCTGATTGAAGATGAGTCTGCTTTGCCCCATGAGCGGTGACATCGGCCATCTTCGCCTTGTGCACCGCTCACAATGACAATGAGTCTAGTAAATCAAATTGATCTTCTGTCGGGTGAGCATGTGTTCACTTAACTAGCTGCATGCAACCATGAGAGAACACCATCAGTGTTGGCAGTTTTCCTTAAAAGGCTTCAATGCTGGGCTGCTCATTTTGGGTACAGGTAAGTCCAACGCATAGCTCTCTCCAGCTGTGGTGAAACTACTGTCATGATACATTGCCAGCCTTTTTATTTTGGCATTTTGAAGTATTTACTCTGCCAGAATCGCTATCAAATGTATCCTTACACCACCTTCCCTATATTATTATGAGCCAGTGGTGTCACAATTCCTGGTGGTCTAACGATCATTGACGGCTGCAGTTTTCTTCCATTCCTCCACACCATAGCTGACACTATATCGTAGCACCCTCAATGAATGCAGGTCCGAAAATATACAAATTTTAAACTGGCCACTGTGCAAACCCGGCAAATGCACAGTGGGCCACAATGCCCATAGGACAAGGCAGACTGGGGAGATCAAATTATCTCTGTGATCAGTTCAGCGCTCCCTATTGCCGGGTCCCTGGGAGCTTGTAAACTATACCTCCACTGAGTGCTTAGCACCTATATTGTTCCTGCGCTCATAGTAGGATTTAGGTATTTTGGTGCCTTAGGCTGGTTACCAGCCCCCACTGCATTCTTCACATAGGAATGGCTAATGGGGCCAATGAAATTCATGGTTTTGGGGGCCCCTAGCTAACCCTGCCTAGGGATGCCTTATGTTAATCCTGCTTTGTTTATGCAGTGAGTTCTGGAATACTTCTCAGTGTAAGGAGCTGTACAAGTGGTCTGCACCCACTGGAGTCTGGTCTGCACCCACTGCTCTTGCTCTTGTAAACAAGCACAGGGCATTTTCCATATGTCAGCAGGGCTCTGTGTATGTGCTGCCCTTGAGAGCATCAAACTGACATGTGTGCATGTCATTGTTGAAGACTCACTACAACCCTCTCTGCTCCCACCATCTTCTATTGGACTGCTCAACCTTTAAATGCCCGGGATGAATATCTCATTCTAGCCCTGTATGGGATTGTCATGGCCATTCACTGTAGTTCTTACATCTCCTTAAACAATGATCACCATCATTTATCACAAAAATAAATTATATATTTAATTGATTTAAAGCCTGCAGATATGATAGTATTGAACTAACTGAAAACCCTTCCCCCTCTTCTGCCAACGTCCCAACCCCTTCCACCAAGTGATTCTATTAACCCAGTGTTTACAGTGCCCCAAATGTATAAATCTAAGCATTCTCCAACAGACTCTCCAACAGACTGGACCACCACTAATGGCCAACTTGCCACATTTAAGTTGGAACTGCCAACTTACAGACAGTTTGTGTCTTTTTGACCAAACCACTATTTTAGTTTCCAGCTGAATCTAATCGATACAGGGCAAAATATATGAACTGAGTTGGCATTCAGATTACAAAGAATTACAACAATGAGATATATATTTTTTTTTACAATGACTTATTGCCTAAAGCGAAAACAGATCTGGCAATTGAATCAACAAAGGCTTTGAGAAAAATAAATAAAAAAAAGTGATTCAGTCTGTACGCCATGGATGGATCTATTAATTATCCTTGCATCATTTAAAAACACGTGAATGGAGGGAGCTGAGTGTTGTGTGTGTGAGTGGGAGTGTGCAGCTGTGTATGTAGTGGCTGAGTGTTGTGTGTGTGTGTGAGAGTGTGTAGTGGCTGTGTGTAGCTGTGTATCGTGTATGTAGTGGCTGAGTGTTGTGTGTGTGTGTGATATTGTGTAGTGGCTGTGTGTAGCTGTGTATAGTGTATGTAGTGGCTGTGTGTTGTGTGTGTGAGAGTGTGTAGTGGCTGTGTGTAGTTGTGTATTGTGTATGTAGTAGCTGAGTGTTGTGTGTGAGAGAGTGTTTAGTGGCTGAGTGCTGTGTGTGTAGAGGTTGTATTTGGGGGTAGTTTGAGTAGGCTTATGTCTTTGGTGACTGAGTTTTGTGTGTGAAGGGTAGTCTGAGTAGGGCTGAGGCTTACGTGTGGTGTCTGAGTGTGTGTATAGCGGCTGTCATGTTTGTACAGTGGATAATGCAAGTGTGTGTTTTTTTTATAGGATCTGGAGTGTGTGGGCGTACAGGGGGATAATTGTGTATAGCACGTGTGTGCATAGGGTCTATAGTGTGTGTGTTTGTGTAGGGGGTCCATTGTGCATGTGTGTGTACAGTCCTGCAGTGTGTGTTTAGGGAATCCAGTATGTGTGTGTGGGGGGGGGATTCATTGTGTATGTGTGCAGTGGCTGTAGCATGTGTGTCTTTAGGTTATCCAGTCTGTTTGTGTGTGTGTGTAGGACAGCCAGTGTATGTTGGAGGGAGGAATCAAAACCTCTCGATTTTTAACACCAAAGGACTGTGGACATCCCAACTTGCGATATACTAGCTACAACATATCAGACGTTCCTTTTTCATAATAGTTCCCCTTTAAAGATGTCAAAACACAACAATAATGCTGATATATTGTTATGATAAATCTAAATCTGAGATATTTTTGCCAAAATGTAAAATAAAAACAAAATAAACAGCAAGAAACAAATATATACACACACCAGCTGTTACAAAATAGCTGTGATGAGCACGTGAAATCTTCGGCTGCGATTCCATATGTTCCAAAGGACTGAAACGATAAACAGACTCTTCGAATTATTGATTTATTTTTAGTCCCTTTATAGCGAGCATATATTTATTTTTTATTCTGTACTAAACAATAAACAGACTTGTTTTTTTCCTCTATTTTATTCCTTTATTTATTGTAGGGAATATAAATAAAAGAAACCGTATTGATTCAAAAAGACCAGCCATTTAAGTTTTAAGTGCTTAAACCTGTATTGTTCTCATTGTTTTGTTTTACAGTAAAAAATATTTACATAGAAATTTACATTTCCTAAATACTATGTTTGGTACTTAACCAGTTACTAATGTAAATTGTACTTTACTAAATTTACTACTAGGAACTAGATGCATAAAATAACCATGCACAATTTATTTCCCCTAAGAATTCCTTTTAAACTTTGTTGATGTTGGACTTCTTACCTTTGTTTATCAATCAGTGATCACTAACTGCTGGGCAACAAGTCAACTTTCGAGGGCATGGACCAATGTTGGCATCCCGGCTGTAGGGCTTCCATGTCTAGACGTCTTAGACATCTCTTTCACCCCAGCCTATAGGTAGAGGGAGCTTTACGGACAGAAATTGAGTGGATATAATCAGAAAGCCCTCTGCCCACTCTAATCAGCCAGTTAATCAGCCAGTGGCCACTGACTGCTGGGCAACCATGTCAACTTCCGAGGCCACAAACCAATGTTGGTATCCTGGCTGTAGGGCTGCCATGTCTAGATGTCTTAGACATCCATTCTTCCTTGACCTATATATAGAGGGAGCTTTATGGCCAGAAATTGAATGGATCTAATTAAAAAGCCGTTAACGTATGCAGGAATTAGTCAGGCTTGTTAAATCACCCTGGCCAAACCTATCAAGTTTCCTGTAGAAATGGGCAGACTGTCAGACACTGACCAGCCACAGCTAATTGAATGTGTTTGTTAAAGAATATAGGCAAGGGGTATAATTGGTTGCAGGATCAAATAAAAAAAACGTTCATGTATTTCCTGAGCAAGTTATCCTTTGAACGACAATATAAAAGACTCCTGTATGATGAGCATTGATGAAAAATGAACCTGTAGTATTTTATGGTCCCTTTTCTCATATTAGTTTAAACTGCTTTGTCTGTCGATGTTAACATTCGCTATGTCTTTATTCCAGTCCCATTCAGCCATGCATAATTTATATTGCACACCAAAGGTTTTAATCAATTTCTCGCCCATTATTGGATATGTATTAGAGTGAGCTAGAAAATCATTAGGTTTATGCATACCCTAAGGTAGAGGTTTTAGAGAAAAATTAATGTTCTCTCTTTACTCTACCAACAAATACATCTTGTTGTATGTAGAAGACCTAGGTGATTTATTGGGGAAGCTTCAATCGAGAAGAGAATTACCAGAAACTGACTGACACATTTTATACAGTTAATTCTGTGTAGTATTGTGTGTCATAGACATGGGAATGTTTTTTGTAATGGCCTACAGGAGCTGTGAATGTGTTGTCTTTCTCATCTTGGCTAAGATTAATTCTACCTCTGCTCTTGTCGATCACCTTATTGACCTGGGTTAGCTACACTATGCCCTAATTGTTCTCCATCCCATTAAAAGAAAATTCTTCATAAGTAAAATTTAGCAGAATGAAAAACATCACAATCCCAGTACACCCCGATGATCAACTACAGCTTCAACGATGCTTAGAAAACAAAACACCCTATAAATATCTGTTCTCTGAAATATATCTCTCTCTATAAGCCAAATAACTTCAGCCAAATGTGATCCTTTTTATAAAATTAATTATAACAGGTTGCTATTTATTACATGGCAACATTGGCTGCATTTGAAGATAATTTATTCTTTCAGTAGAATAGATGAGGAGTGTAAACAAGGTAGATCCCCAGGGGTAACAGAAGTACAACTCACCTTTGCCAGCCTTAAGAACCGCAAAGCATCATGAAAGTTGTAGTTCAACCACAGTTGGAGATCTAAGGTTTGGCCACTCTGCTCTAATACCCCAGATCATTTGTATGAGAAGCCGTTAGGTAGGTCATTGGTTGTTGAACTAGAGCTTCCAAGATTCTCTGCTGACCTTGGCTGATGGATGAGCATCATGTGATGTGAAGTTCAGTCAATTCTTGATAAGTATCTTATAGCCGTACTTGATTTTTATTAAATCAGAGTAGAAACCTAATTATGTATCTGCACTGTTATTGAATATGGGCATTTATAGTACACTGTGAGCATGTTTTTCATGAGTTTGTTATCTGCATTTTCTCCCCCTGAACCCTTGACAATACACAAAACATTAAACCAAAGAAGAGCCATTCATGGTGTCTATCCAGATCATGGTCATACGCACTTTCCAGCTAGGGCGAATTAGGTGTGCCTACATTCAAACATCACTAGTACATGCTAATCTACCCTACACTGAGTAATGCACACTAATCTGTAAAAACGAACTATCTATAAATATCACATGCACACTAATCTGTTAATTTCACAAACATACATACTAATACATGAATCTGTTAATATCACAGAGACACAGACTAACACAGTAACCTCTTAATATCACACACATACTAACACACTAACCTCTTAATTTCACAAACATACATACTAATACATTAATATGTTAATATCACAGACACACAGACTAACACACACTAACCTCTTAATATCACACACATAGTAACACACTAACCTGTTAATTTCACAAACATACATACTAACGCATTCATCTGTTATCACAAGCACACATACTAACACACTAACCTGTTAAAATCACAAAAACACATAGTGACACACTAATCTATGAATCTCTAAAAACATACATACTAACACACTAACCTGTAAATATCACAAACACACATAGTGACACACTAATCTATAAAAATAAAAAAAACACACATACTAACACACTAAGCTGTAAATATCACAAACACACATACTAACACACTAACCTGTTAATATCACACACATACTAACACACTGACCTCTTAATTTCACAAACACACATACTAATACATTCAGTGGCATACACATGACCCATTGGGCCCCGGTGCGAAAATTGAACAGTGGGCCCCCCCCTCCCTCCCGCGCTTACTCGGCGCGGGTTGGGGCCGCAACACATGGCGGCGGGCACCTGGTCGCAGGGGTTGCAGGGCTGCGACCCCGCGACCGCGGTACGCACACACACTTAAAGGACCACAACAGACACCCAGATCACATCAGCTCAATGAAGTGGTCTGGGTGCCAGGTCCCTCTAGTTTTAACCCTGCAGCTGAAAACATAGCAGTGAAAACGGCTATGTTTCACTGAGGGTTAATCCAGCCTCTGGTGGCTGTCTCATTGACAGCTGCTAGAGGAGCTTCCGCGATTCTCACTGTGAAAATCACTGTGAGAAGACACTGAACGTCCATAGGAAAGCATTGAGTAATGCTTTCCTATGGGCGGTTTAAATGCGCGCGCGCACCTCTTGCCACGCATTTGCATTCGGAGCTGAGAGGCGGACACTGGGGAGTCCGACGCTGGAGAAAGTTAAATGCTGAAGAGACACACACACACACACTCTCACGAACAGACGCATACACACTCACTTACAAAACATACACTTTCACTGACAAACACACACTCACTAACAGACAAACACACTCAGTAACAGACACACACAGTAACACACTCACTAGCAGACACACACCCAATAACAGACACACTCACTGACACACACACTAACACACGCACTAACACAAACACTAATACACACACTAACACACACATACACTAACACACACACACACACTCATACACTAACACACACATACACTAACACACATACACACACACACACTAACACACACATACTAAGACACACACACACTAACACACACATACTAAGACACACACACACTAACACACACATACTAAGACACATACACTAACACACACATACACTAACACACACATACACTAACACACACACACACATACACACACTAAGACCCACATACACTAACACACACATACTAAGACACACATACTAAGACACACACACACTAACACACACATACTAAGACACATACACTAACACACACATACTAAGACACACACACACACTAACACACACATACTAAGACACTAACACACACACATACTAACACACACTAACACATTTTTATTTTTTAAATTTAATCCCCCCAGCCTCCTTACCTATTGGAGTGCTGGGGGGATTCCCTGGGGTCCAGTGGTGCTGCTGGGCTCCTGGGTGGGCGGGCTGTCTGGACAGGCGGGTGCGCGAGGGAGCACTCAGTGCTTCCTCTTCAGCTCCCTCACGCGCCGCGTAGGGATGCCGGCGCCGGAAGATGACGTCATCTTCCGGCTCCGGTATCAGTGCGGTGCGCGAGGGAGCTGAAGAGGAAGCACTGAGTGCTCCCTCGCGCACCCGCCTGCCCGACCGGCCACCCGCCTGCCCGGTGACAGCAGGGCCAGCCTCTGGGGGCCCTGGGGTGGTCGGCTCCTGGGCCCCCCAGGGGAAGAGGCTGGCCCTGTGGGTACATACCGGGTCGCAGGGGCGGCCGGGCGACCCTGGTATGTACGCCACTGAATACATTAATATGTTAATATCACAGACACACAGACTAACACACACTAACCTCTTAATATCACACACATAGTAACACACTAACCTGTTAATATCACAAACATACATACTGACACACTAATCTATGAATCTCAAAAAACATACATACCAACACACTAATCTGTTATCACAAACACACATAGTGACACACTAATCTATAAAAAAAACACACATACTAACACACTAACCTGTAAATATCACAAACACACATACTAACACACTGACCTGTCAATTTCACAAACACACATACTAGCACAATAATCTATAAATACCACATGCACACATACTAACACACAGTCCACTGGTAACCTGTATCTACAGAATTCACTAGTTTACCATTACTATACCTGGCCTATAACAGGTGGCCAGCAAGTTATGCCTAGCAAATAATAACCAGCCCATATGTTAACAAGTAAATACAGGTAGACCAGTAAGATGACCATTCCAGTCCACTGATAGTCTGTATCTATGAATGAGTAATATTTAATTTACACACCTTTACCATCCCAGGGGTAACCCCTACCTACTGACCTACAAGAAGGGGCTAAGATAGGCCTACCACACCCTAGATCACTCAACAGTAACCAATACCTAATAACCAGTCAATTCTCATTACATACCATCACCTACCAAACAGTAACCAGTACCTAATAACCAGTCAATTCTCATTACATACCATCACCCACAAACAGTAACCAGTACCTAATAACCAGTAAATTATCATTACATACCATCACCTACCAAACAGTAACCAGTATCTAATAACCAGTAAATTATCATTACATACCATCACCTACCAAACAGTAACCAGTACCTAATAACCAGTAAATTATCATTACATACCATCACCCACCAAACAGTAACCAATACCTAATAACCAGTAAATTATCATTACATACCATCACCCACCAAACAGTAACCAGTACCTAATAACCAGTAAATTATCATTACATACCATCACCCACAAACAGTAACCAGTACCTAATAACCAGTAAATTATCATTACATACCATCACCCACCAAACAGTAACCAGTACCTAATAACCAGCAAATTATCATTACATACCATCACCCACCAAACAGTAACCAGTACCTAATAACCAGTAAATTATCATTACATACCATCACCCACCAAACAGTAACCAGTACCTAATAACCAGCAAATTATCATTACATACCATCACCCACCAAACAGTAACCAGTACCTAATAACCAGTAAATTATCATTACATACCATCACCCACAAACAGTAACCAGTACCTAATAACCAGTAAATTATCATTACATACCATCACCCACAAACAGTAACCAGTACTAATAACCAGTAAATTATCATTACATACCATCACCCACAAACAGTAACCAGTACCTAATAACCAGTAAATTATCATTACATACCATCACCTACCAAACAGTAACCAGTACCTAATAACCAGTAAATTATCATTACATACCATCACCCACCAAACAGTAACCAGTACCTAATAACCAGTAAATTATCATTACATACCATCACCCACCAAACAGTAACCAATACCTAATAACCAGTAAATTATCATTACATACCATCACCCACCAAACAGTAACCGGTACCTAATAACCAGTACATGCCATCACCCACCAAACAGTAACCAGTACCTAATAACCAGCAAATTATCATTACATACCATCACCCACCAAACAGTAACCAGTACCTAATAACCAGCAAATTATCATTACATACCATCACCCACCAAACAGTAACCAGTACCTAATAACCAGTAAATTATCATTACATACCATCACCCACCAAACAGTAACCGGTACCTAATAACCAGTAACATGCCATCACCCACCAAACAGTAACCAGTACCTAATAACCAGTAAATGATCATTACATACCATCACCCATCAAACCGTAACCAGTACCTACTGATGATGGAATTTATATATCTGAATATATAAAACTGAATCCACGCAACATTAATTTCTACACACTGACCAATAAAACATCACTAGTAAACCTATACCAGTAAGGTGTCATAAGTACAACCTAAACTCTCTCCACTTTAACTGTACCTACTAGCCAGTAAGTTTCCACTAAAAAATACTAACCAACCCATATGGAACCCTTTACCTACTGACCAGTACGAGAGCCCTACCCCCACACCAACATCCACCCAGCATTAACCTGTATCTACTGACCAGTCAGATATCACTAGAACACCCTTAACCTCCCAACATTACAGTAAGATATCTCACACTTTTACCAACATAACTGTTACCTATACCAGTTGACAAATGAGATATCACTATTTCACCCAAACCTGCCTAGCAGTTACACGTAGTTGTAGTTTGACTTTACTTTTACTTAGAGGTTAGCCTGTGTGACAATCTCCCCTTTTTCTGTGAGTTTGCCACGAGTTTTTGGAGGGGCCTGTTTGCCAGCCTCCTACCCTCTGATTATGGCCCTGTGACAAACTGAACCTCATCAAGGATTCTTGGAGGGGCCTGCTGGCCAGTCTATTTCCTCAGGACTATGGGCCCTGCAATATACCTTGCCCAATGCACTTTAAAAGGCTCTGTTCATGTGAAGTATGTACTTTTGTACTCCAGACAGAGAGACCGACCGTTATCCCTAATTCTCTGGAACTGTTTTGGGCATGGGACCATGTGCACGGGTGATCAAAAATAAGACTTCCAGGAATTTCCTGAATCCCTGCTCTGATCTGGGTGATTTTTGGATATGTTGTTCACCCAGATCAGGGCAATCCGGGAATTTTGGGGGGTATGTTATGTTTTGGGGTACTTTCTGAACTTTGTCAAAATGTGTTTTTTCTGCTTGGAGATAATTGAATTACTTACAGGACTTTACTCAATTATCTCCCAAGCAGAGGGGAGAGATTGTGTGCTGTACATGGGCGTGTCACAGAATGTATGTTTGTTCTGATTGGTTTATGTCCTTTGTGTTCCTGTGCCCCATCAGGTCCAGGGGGTGTTCCTCTGGCCTTGAGAATTGAATAAAAGCCAACCTGAACCACTAAAGCTCAGATCATCTTGCACCTTCATGAAGTTTCGGCTCATGTTTGGGGGATTGGAGAACTACACTCTGGGAGATTGCTATAATCACTACACTCCACTGAGTATAATCACTATCTCTTGTAAGAGCTTGTTTCTGCTACGCTCTCTGGACTAAGAGAGGTCTACCCACTGGAAGCTGGATCCTGGTCATAGGTCCAGGGTGGGTAGGAGACGGCGAGATCCCAACAAAGCTCTGGTGGTTCGTGGGGTTTGCAGTAGTTCCAGCACAGTTCTTATGGTACTCATTAGTACTAGGAAGCAGCAATTGACGGAGGTACCCGGTCCGGGTACAGTCGGTCCGTCACGGCCTGTCCTGTGTTAAATATTTCATGATAATGTGACACTGCAACAGCTATTACCAGAGAGATTAATACTATTGTTTATTATTTTTCGGACAATCTTTATTGAATCCTAAAATAAAATTGCACTTTTTGTAGAGATGCAATTTGCCAGTAGGGATTATCTAACGCCCGACATTTTTTTTACGTATTTTTTTAAAATCTTCCTTGTGTTTTAAAATTAAATTATACTCAAACTGTAGTACGAATGTTTCCCAGAAATTATGTTTACATGTTAGAAAAGGATTTTATTATGAAAATTAGAATGAAGCGGCATCTAAATCTGAGAACACCTTTCCACGGCACTCTCCCCTGACTTTTGCAAATGCTTGTTTGTATGAGGATGTCAGTAATTTCAAAACTATGAAATCTCTGATGTTTATGGACCATGTATCCCAAGTTACAAACTCTAGTGTAAGAACTATGGGGAAAATCATACACAAAGATCTAGTAGCAAGGTCATCCTTTACTGTTCTTTAAGTGTCCTATAATTATTGTCTGCGCCACAATAAATAGTTGTCACATGTCACCCATCATAAAATAAGCACAAGATGTAAGAATCCTTGCCTAATCTGCAGGGATATGTTTTTTTCTATTTGCTCAATACAATTGGTGCATGATTCTGATTAAGAATGAATTCATTTTTACTAACTCCTTGTCTTTCTGTTTCTTTTAGCTTGTGGCAAGCTGACAGGGATCAGCGAACCAGTTACAGTCAAAGCGTCCGGTTCCAGGTTTGGCTCCTGGATGACAGACCCACTGGCTCCAGAAGGAGATAATAGGGTAAGCAGATTTTTATTTCAATACATTTGTTTCTTGTTAGACGCTCCCTGATTTTTGACCCATGTCGTATATCACAGTTAAATAACAGTAAAATAGATTTTTGTGCTTTAAGAAAAACATAAAACAACATATATTATGATTCAATTATTTGCTGATTTCTACATAAACAGAAATGAGGCAAACTAGATGTATGTGTGCATGTATGAATGAGTGATTGTCTGTGTAGGGTCTGTATGAATGACTGTTCAAAGTGTGCATGTTTGTATGTATGTACGAGAGAGTGTCTGTGTGTAGTATGTATGAATGAGTGAGTTATCTGTTTATGGCTGAATGAATGTGTGTAGTATGTATGAATGAGAGTGTCTTTGTATTGTATGTATAAATGAGTGAGTTTTCTGTGTATGTCTGAATGAATGCATGTATATCTGTGTGAATGAGTCAGTGTCTGTGTGTGTGCATTTATGTTTATGTTGCTAAGTAGATGTGACTGTAAGTAGCTAGTTCTAGTTATATTTGAGCTTGTGGAATATTATCTGTGTATGTCTGAATGAATGGTCAAAGTGTGTATGTTTGTATGAATGAGAGAGTGTCTGTGTGTAGTATGTATGAATGTGTGAGTTATTTGTAAATGTCTGAATTAATGACTGTTCAAAGTGTGTATGTTTGTATGGATGAGTGAGTGTCTGTGTATGGCTGTATGAATGAGTCAGTTATCTGTGTACGTCTGAATAAATAAATGTTTAGAGTGTGTATGTTTGCATGAATGAGTAAGTGTATTTGTATTGTCTATATGAATGAATGAGTTATTTGTGTACATCTGAACGAATGGTCAAAGTGTGTATGTTTGTATAAATGATAGAGGGTCTGTGTGTAGTATGTAGAATGAGTGAGTTAGCTGTGTATGGCTAAATGAATGTGTGTATATCTGTATAAATGTGTAGTATGTATAAAGAAGTGAGTTATTTGTGTATGAATGAATTAATGTGTGTATATCTGTATGAATGAGTCAGTGTATCTGTGTGTGCATTTATGTGTATGTTGCTAAGTAGATGTGTCTGTAAGTAGTCAGTTGTATATATTTTAGCTTGTAGAATATGTTTATATATAAATGGTAAATTAGTTATATGTGAAAACTTAGTATATGTGTACAGTGCTGGGCACATGCAAGGTTCGGGAGGGGCAACTTTTTGTTCGCTGACCCAGGCAGCAACATATCTTGTGCCAGCCCTGCGCTGCCTGCAGTGGAAAACTTGCTACCCCTTGCTGCAAAATTAAAAATAATAAAAGTCTCTTAGCTGTTATGTGGAGATGATGGCTTCCAGCAATAATGAACTTTGTTCCATTGTTCTCTAGGTTTGGTACATGGACGGCTACCACAATAACCGTTTTGTACGGGAGTACAGGTCGATGGATGATTTTAAGAATAGTGACAACTTTACCTCTCACCGTCTCCCACACCCATGGTCTGGAACAGGGCAGGTTGTATATAATGGTTCCATCTATTTCAACAAATTCCAAAGCCACATCATCATCAGGTTTGACTTGAAGTCAGAGACAATACTGAAGACCAGGAGCTTGGACTCTGCTGGTTACACCAATGTTTACCATTATGCTTGGGGTGGTCAATCAGATATTGACATCATGGTAGACGAGAATGGGCTATGGGTTGTTTATGCCACCAATCAAAATGCTGGGAACATAGTCATCAGCAAGCTGGACCCAAACACCCTACAAATCCTCAAGACCTGGACCACAGGTTACCCTAAGAGAAGTGCTGGGGAAGCCTTCATGATCTGCGGAACTCTCTATGTCACTAATGGTTATTCTGGTGGAACCAAAGTGCATTACGCTTATCACACCAACACCTCCACCTACGAGTACATTGACATCACTTTCCAAAACAAATACTCACATATTTCAATGTTGGACTACAATCCCAAGGACAGGGTTCTGTACGCTTGGAACAACGGTCACCAAGTGCTGTACAATGTCACCCTGTTTCACGTCATTAGGTCTGATGAGTTGTAGCCAGGCCCTGGCACTTACAAACTGAACAGGGATGTAGAATAGAACTTGCTAAGTAGAAAGATGGCTGCCAAAATTAACCAAACTGTCCTTTTGACGGGTCAAACGTTATCACATTAAATGGACTTGCCCGACGAGAATCAAAGGAATCGATCTTTGAGACTATCTATCTTAGCAACACCAAGTAAAATAATTTTCAGCAGTACTCGAGTTTTCAAAGAACAAAATAAACCTGTCTTTTACAAACAGACAATGGCAGTGACTGTTGATTATATCTTGCTATGGACAATAACCTGTGTAAAAAAAACTAATTAAAAAAAAAACCACGTATGAGTTTTATTGGATAGGAAACGATGACTGGTTAAAGAATGGGGAGCACAGTGTTGTGTACACAAGAAAGAGAAAAATATATATGAAATTAGCTTGTATCAGAAAAAAAAAATTATGTATAATTTGGTGATTTTGAATGTAGAAAAGTAATTGTAGCTTTTTTCTCAATCAAAGCAGTTTGCCGCTTGAGAAGTGTTATTAGCAAGATACCAGTCATCTTATGGTCTCCTATTTAAGATGGTCAGAAGTATGTGTACCCACTAGAATGATAGATTTTCATATGGTTTAAACTTATGTATTCAGAAAATATCATGTATAATGTCTGTTGTAATAAGAGATATTCAACTGTATTTGTCCGTTCACGCAATGAATGTTGTTAAATTTGCAGTAGTTTGGATTTATTAAGAACAATGAATTTGTTACTGTAAAAAAGAAAAGTTGTGAAAAAAAACTGAAAAATATTTATTACATATATAATATATACATATGGATATATGAATATGGAACGCAGTGTTTACCGTTTACCAATACACATCTGCGAGGACCTTTGTAGGATTGCGCGCAATTCTACAGGTCTAGATTAGCAGAGAAGTACAGGAATAAGATATGGTAATTTTTATTAAAAAAATATATTAAAATAAAGCATTAGAAATTCAAAATCTATAAGAAAGGAAATAGCTTTCTGTGGAAACTGTGTAAGCTTATTTGTATTCCCTATATAATTAATTGTGGCAAAAGTACGGGAGGGATGGAGTTTAATTTTTTATTTAAATATTCGTTAAAAAAAAAAATATAAGCAAATGAAGATAAATTTGTAAAATCCACAGGTATCAAGGGAACAATAAAACACAGAAATATTGAAGACACGAGTTTCCGTTTTACTTTACTAACATCATGTTCTTGAAACTGATAATACCGAAATCATAATGTGCCATACTGCATGAAAAATACAATTGATCTGCAAATTAGCTAATGGGAATGGCTGTATTGTCTGAAAAAAATAATATATATATTTTTTAGAAAACAGCTCAATTATGACACACATACATGAGACAGCAAGTTCTGCTTGGTCTAATTGCACATGGGATCAATATGCTTTCCGTTGTAGCTTATCCTGTTTCCATGACAACCATTATTTAGGTTAGAGTTTATCTGCAGGATTAATATATCAGACGAGTTCAATTAGTTGCAGTCACTGCAAAACCGGATAGGATCAGATATCAACAACGCTGAAACGGAAAATATTCTTAATATTTTATAAACATCAGTTCTAGGTTTCGAGGAAGAAAATGAGATAGTTAGTTAAAGCATAATTTTTTATAAAAAGATACAAAATGAAAGGCTTAATTACCATAGAGACAAAAGGACAGCTAGCAGGACAGAGATGGGTGGATATGGCTTGATGGATCCTTATATAGAATAGCAATGGCATCTAAATATCTGTATAATATCTGATTATATCCCAGTCACAATGTATAGATTACATGATTGTATTCTCTTCTTACTCATTCACATGGTTAATCCTGAAAGCAAGAATTGTTGTGAATTTCAAATGTTAGACCAAAATAATCAAACTGGAAGCTCGATAATATTTTTCAAATTCAGCTATTTTAGCCTTAAATTTAAAAATTCATTTTGAATTCCCCTTCATGAAATTCCCACTTCAGTAAATAACCTTATTATTTTCCATTTTATAACCTTATGCCTCATGTAGATCATGCTAATCCCCCCTTGCCACCTTCCTATATTAATATTTATTATCTGGTGGCCATTTTGTTCTCCTCTAACCATGATGTCAACGGTTTGCCCTCGGGTGCTTCAAGTCCGCTGTGCTGTTTTCTGATAGTGAGCCGAACCTCAGGAGAGTTAGTCTGTCGATCAAATATTTTGGGCTGATGGATTTTAAGGTAAATTAATTTGGCAACAGAAACTGAGCTTTGCCTCAGCTCTGCCCTTGCCATATATTACCAAAAATCCCAATCTACAGAAGAGAAAATGGGATATATATGAAACTAAGGAGAATTTTGAGTTTGGTGAATAAACCACAATATAGTCTGAAATAGTCGACACAGGGAAATTGTGAAAATCTTGATATCAGCTTCTTTTCTGACCCAGTTATATTGGCCTAAATTTCCCCATGACAGTTCACTATAATAAACTGTTATTTATGTGTTCTATACGTTCCAAGTGAATTACAAAATGTAGGCCAAAAAGTCTGGTTCTCCAAGTCAGCAGAAATTCAAATGTGAATATTGTGTGACTCGGCGTGTTTTAAATACACCCTAGTTTAGTCTTTGGTTTTATTAGCAAAGAGTAATAGCGAAAAATTATATATAATTCAAAGATTACAATATCCAAAGATTATATATAATTCAAAGATTACAATCTCCAAAGATTATATTTAATTCAAAGAATACAATAGGGTATCAAAGTGATAATTAAAAGATCACTCCACTGCCCATTTTAGAAAAAAAAATTGAATGCATGTAATCATTAGGGGTATATCTTTGCAAGCCTTCCCCGTTTTCCCTGGAAGTGATTTTAGGCCCTTCACAGGAATATAGCCAATCTGAGGCCCTTCTTGCACACTCACGCATGCAAAGCATTCTGATCTGAGGTCTGGACTTGTGTTAGCTCAGGCGAGCTAACAGAAGCAGGAATGAAACCTCTGGCTGTTTGATTGACAGCCAGGGGGGAGGGGTGTTCCATTAAATATTTATAAAAGTGTCAATTTCTAATAGAAATCAGAACATTTATAAACTGTTGTTATTATGAGATACTCCTAAAGTTGTGTTGAGTTATAATATATTAATAAACATAAATTATGGCAGAATTTAGCTATCGCAAAACACAATTAGCCATACCCTTTTTATTAATGTAATAACTCCATTAAATATGATTATTTTAAAAGCAATTTACGATGTGATTTAGAACAGAGCAAACTGTGATTTATTATCAATTTTAATGGAACAGAGAGTATTGTTTCTTGAATACATTTATTGAAGCGTGCCTCTTACAGAATCCTAAAATCGACCTTCTTTTCTTCACGGACAGGGGCTCGGAAATATGTTCCCATTGGTCCTCTGTATTGTCATTGAGTTAAATGTATGAATAAGTTAATAAAAGAACAAAAATAAATTCTGTTTGAAAATTCACCGGCAGACGCTTCTCATAGTAAAATATAAACGTTGGAATGAAGAGTTTGTCCTCCAAAGAGAATAAAAGGCCCTCCATCCAGCGAAGAAAAGGTCACACGCAAAATGTCATTGTAGAAGGGATAACCATAGGACGTCGCTTTATACGGCTCTCTTAAAATAGCCTCAGCCTGCCAATCCCTAGTGAGATATTCTTTCAAGCTAAAGAGGAAGGAAAAACAGTCCCGCAATGGAAGCACACTGAGAATTAAAGACTCCTATTAAGAGGTTTTGAAATTTATTTAGTAAATAATGCATAATCTATCTAATAAGCCTTAACCCACTTAATTCGAGGGAAATGTCACAGGACCATTTTACACCGTGGCTGGATGAACCTTTGATCAAGGACCACATTCAGAGGTAGTACTGGCCCCCACCTTTAGATACATATTGTGGAAGAGAGGGGGGAGCAGCCAGCTGGGAGCTCAGCTAGAGGATCAAGCTTTTAATCAATATTTTATTTGTGTGCGCGGCTTTGATCTATTTGTACATATGGATGCATTACAGAATTTCATCCAGAATTTCATCCTGGGTTCACCGAGGTCTTAATAGTTTCAGAAAAGAGAAATCCATTGCAGCCCCCTGGCTATGAAAGGGTCACGGTGATTATTCAAAGGAAGGATATCAATCAAGCAGTGTGGTGTATTGTCTATGCACGTAGACCCATTCATTTTCAGGTTTACAGGGATGTTATATTTGTATTAATATTATTATTCAAATTATTATATAGTATTTATATGTTATAATATAATTAGTATCTCATCTTAGATTGGTTTATTTATTTTATTTTATGTTTTGGGGTAGGAGAGGGGGGTTAACTGTATGCAGGTTCTTTTTAATTCCTTTCCTAATTATATATATATATATATATATATATATATATACATATTCAACATATCTACTACCCTTTCTATGTCAATAGTGCTCTATATTGCTACCATTGGAAGGCTATGCCTGGTACTTACTACTCTTTCTGTAATATAGTATATGCATTCAAGGTACTTATCCAACTGTCACGCCTTGTCTGATGTCACTCCCTTCTGCTCCGTGGTCCAAAATGTAATTCTTCCAATAGAGAAGCATTTGATTCGAGCATTTCAGCAGCTCAGCGTGCAAATGCTTAGACTGAGCCAATGTGGAAAGGGCGGCAATGGGGAAGGATAGAGAGAAGGGATTTGTTTGTTTTGTTGAGGTTATGAGATTTTCAGTGACCTGGTAATTAGCAAACAAGTCAAGACCAGCCCAATTAACACTCAGAGTCTATAGACAAATATACTTTGTATTCACATACACCTAAATATATCTCTACATTTATACACTCTGCTGATTCTGATCGCAAACACACTACATTGGTCACTTGCATACAGTCACAATGACATTATATATGAGGTTATAGATAAATAGATCCCCACTGTAACAGCACACACAAATATCCAAATTAAATTTCCAAATACAGATAGAAAGACAGACAGATATACACCTTTGCCGTTGACCGACAGACAGAAACGAGAGAGAGTACACAAAATAGAGATACATATACACACACATACACTTACTCATGAACATGCAGACAAAAACATAACGTAGGCTGCTGTTTGAGTCTTCCTTTGGTTGAAGACGGGTACAAAATACATAATATTAGCAAATAAATCTGGCAGTGAACAGGGCTGTATTTACTATATTTTTTTCTACTCTCACACTTTCCCTCTTTATTTACTATATTTTTTTCTACTCTCACACTTTCCAATTCACTTACGTCTCAATTTAATGATTAGCGGTTCATACTTTTTCTGCACATCATAAATTGCCCAACATCAATTGGTTATAAAGAAGAAGTCCTTTCTTGCAGCACTTATTCACAGTTTCCTTCACTACTTATTGTTGAAGCTGTTTTGTGCTTCCTCCAATCCCCCAAAATAACATTTACACTATGGATACTCTGTTATCTCGACAGCGTATGAGATATCCGTGCCTAATTACCTGCAGCTTGTTGTTAAACCGGGCGTAGAGCACACAAGGATTTATTAGGAAACACTGCGTACTTCGTAATTAACCTTTAACGCTGTTATATTTTTCTGTACCCCTGATATCTACAAATTACCCCTGGATCATGCCAAAGTCCCTTTCAGCTGTATGTTTAATTATGTATTTTCCTTAAGATATTGCTGTGTTATATTAAAATACACTAATGAGCTAACTTATCATAACTTAACATAACTCTCCCTTACCCACAGGAAATAAACATCAGGGAAGTAAAATTTATTTTATAATTATGTGCTAAGAATCTACCTTTAATGGTGTGTTTATCTCATGAGAAAATGCAACTGAAGAATAGTTATCAAAATAGTATGTAAACATTTCATGGAACTGTCTGGTTCGCATTGTAGACTCTGTTTTATATAATCTTGACTGTACCTCGGGGGCAGCGCCTAATTATTTCACTCCTCCCCTAAACTGCACCCATTTGTGCAAGTTACTGAGTATTCTCTTTCTGCATGTATCAGTAAGCTGCTAAAGATGGGAAGCTCCACCTTGACCGTAGAGAAGAGTGGGAATGTGTGACAATTAGTGATGTCCCGAACCGTTCGTGGCGAACCGTTCGCAAACCGTTCGACGAACCATTCGGGACATCACTAGTGACAATGTTTCCTCCGCTTGAGCTTTAGGGTGTGCCAGGATCACATTTTACAATAAAGTAGTTTATAATAAACTACTGTAATTCATTATTAATTTGGACCAGTTAGTTTATATTTTTTATCTTTATTTTACCCTTCTGTCCCTTGCACATCCTGAAGCACAATAATTTGGCACACTACAATCTGACCCTCGGTGGGGATTATACCACCTAGTTACACTGTCAAAATAGAGCAATTTTACTGCTCAAAAAAAGTATATTTCTATTGATTTTCCTATGTACTTATATAAAGAGAGCACTATACACTGTTTCTTTTCTTCCATGTATGTGAACGCTGTCGATGAAGTTGTGAACCAACTATATCCTTGGGTGGGGATAGTACAGTTTTATACCTGCAAATGTAAACTTTAGTAAAAGCTCTACGCTATATACTCCTTTTTTTCCTTTTCTTTCATATGCACCTAAATAGGACGGATCTAACCACATAAGAACTCAGGCCATCAGAAGTACATTGGGACTATATATTCGATATTTGATTGCGTTTGTCTTTAATACGTTGCTGCTATGTTTAGGCACAACCTGTTTCCTGTACCTTTTGT